TGATACCCATATTGCATTTATTTGAAAAGTCGTGTCCGCCATCTTGGATTTAGATATAAGTGCTATATTCGTAATGAGCACCCCAAATACCTCGAAAACGATACCCATATTGCATCTTTTGAAAAATCGTGTTCGCCTTCTTGCTTTTACAAATAAGTGCTATATTCGTAATGAGCACCCCCAAGTATCTCGAAAATGATACCCAACTTGCCATTATTTGAGAAATCGTGCCCGCCATCTGGTATTTAGAAATGCTAAAAGTCGTGTCAGCCATCTTGTATTCAGATGTAAATGCCATTTCCAGAAGGATTACCAATAATCTCAGTACAGAGTACTAAAAAAACCGACCTCAAAAGTACGTGGAATTACGTCTATTTGCTAAATTTTATTGAAATATCCTTAAATTCGCCACTATACAGGATGTGACACTGGAGATAATAAAAATCCGTTCTCACTACTCAAAGTATATTGAGAGAAAAACGCCTTGAATTGGAGAAATAGTAAAATCAACCATTAAAATAATTATTCCTAAGTAAAATTTAGGCGCTATGTATAAAAATGAATCTTCATGCCTGAACAGCCACCCTTAGAGGTGGATGATTTCTTTCCAAATGTAATGGGACCACTATGGAGGTACCCCCTTTCCAACAAAAAAGAACCAAGAAAATCGGTTCACAAATACCGGAGTTATCGCGTAACATACATACAAAAAAAAAACAAAACGTACAGTCGAATTGAAAACCTCCTCCTTTTTTGAAGTCGGTTAAAAATAAATTTTTGAAAATTCTTGGCAACCATCTTGGATTTAGAAATTAATGCCACATTCTCAATAAGCACTCCTAAGCAACTCGGAAACGTCTATAACTCTCGTTGTCGATCGACATCGATCGTATCTGTAGGCTTTTAAGTGACACTTTATACGTACTTATGCGTATTTTGCAAAATGTCTTAACCACATTTGCCACATAAAGTAATTTAATTTTGGTGACATCGACTTTTGCATAAACCATTTTTACTTAATTACTAATCGGAAGTATTAACTTAAAAAAATAACAATGATCGTAATGCTTACTTCATTACAAATCATTTGATATGTAATTGTCGTCCAAAATAATTATTAAAAAAAAAATTATTAATTAATTTAATTAATTTATTATTTAAAAAAAACAATGAAAAGTGTACGAAACTATTTGAAAATCTCCATAAAAAATAACTTCTGAAATATATACGTTTTATAAATTAAATTACTTTTTATTGACAATAATATCGCACTGAGAAAGTCCTCTTTTTGAGTTACAACACTCTTGTAATAGCAATGCGATTTACAAAAACTAAATTAAATATTCATTTGTTATAATATAATTGACACTATATACCTACTGACTTAAAATATTTAATACAATCTACACGTGATGATATTATTATTATTTGATTTATTATAAGAAATTAAATGTAATAAATAGTGTGCTCTCATTGACATTCTAAAGCGCAAAATTATGTAATTGGACGATAAAGCCCGTTCCAACGAGTCGGCTGTCGTGACCGAATTTTAATCACCTCTGTTCACAATTCATACTAATCAGTTGTCGACCACGGTCGAAGGTGGTGTCAATTTTTAACACTGTACGTGAGACTGTGCGCGATAGACGCCGACGAAGTTCTTGTTGTGATGTATTATTATTTAAGAAAAAAACGAATAAAGACAGCTAAGGAAAGAAAATATTGGATGCACTCAATCCTGAGGGTAAAAAACAAGGGGTAGCGGGGAGCGGGTTGTCGGCCCCAACATCCGACAAATGTGAACATCGTCATACGTTCTTAAAGGCGAGCGAGAATGGACACGATTTTTTTGCGGGCGTAGAGAGCTGGCAAAACACCCGACATTTCTTGTCGACGCCGACACAAAATCGGTTTTAGACAAGTGTGATTAACTTCATATAAAATGCTCTACCACTAGAACATCCGATAAAAATCTGGGACCGACAGCCGATAAGTGGGAACGGGCTCTAAGACAACCATGTGGCAATACAATAAATATGAATGTGAACGAAACGCCATAGTATCCTTAAGGCTCAACTCACACTGACGCACAGTCGAAGCGTCACGAGGCGTCATGTTTTTCGCCTATAGCATATTCATCTCTATTTTCCCATCATTAAGGTACAAATTTGTGCCGCGTCGCCACGCGTTACTTGAGCACTGTGAGGCGTCAGACGCCGACCACACTGTTCCGGGCGCACTAAAGCGACTGTCGATGTCGTCACGCGTCGACACGACACTTCCACTCTGGGCCAGTGTGAGTTGAGTCTCAAGAGACGTTCAGTTTCGGAAGTGAAACAGAAAGTGCCAAACTAGCTCAATACACTATACTACGAGGATGTTGAGGAAATGCTAAGAGTTCATATCTGAAACTCCGTCACACACGCACACACTCACTCACATCTAAGTGAGTAGCTTCATCTTTATTCATACGTGACGGAGTCCTTGATTCTTCATTATGAATTGGCGTATTTAGACTCTTGCGCTGACTTCTAGTCATCACACTCTTCAACGGCATCCTGACGTACTAAACGTTTATATTTAATACCGCTTCGTGAGTTTTCTTTGTTGTCAAAGTCCATATGCGACATGACACTGTTGATATTTTCAATTTCTTCGACACCTTCGTATGATGTTTTGGATTTATCGCAACTAGTGAACGATTCGCTCGCTTCGTGATTGGAATCGTTGAAAAACAATTTAATGGATTTCTTTCCTGACTTTGTTTTTGTTGATTTGAGTACGCTCCGACCGGGGGTGGCGTTGACGTTTATGGGTTTCATTTGGGGTGTTTGCTGAGGAATAAACTATTTTACAAGTCCTGTTATATACTAGACCAACTTTCAATAATATAGATGACTTGACGTGTATTTAAATTCAGAATATTTTTTCACAAGTAAACAAACTAATTATACTTGAAATTGTCAATTTGACTAAACACTACTATAAGGCCTACCTCTCAACTGAGTCGGTTCCTGAAGTATCTGCGCGGTGCGGGAGGAGTGACAGTTTACGTTACAGTTATGTCGCACTGCACACGGGATAATTTCAACAAAATTTTTCTGACGATGTTCATAACTAGTTGATTTAAAAAAGTGCCAAATGTCTTGTCCTTTCATTTCAATTATCAATGAAATAGTTTTTTTTTTTGTATTATCGCTTTACATGACAACAATTGACTAATTTGGTAGGCACTTTTTTCAATCAACAAAAAAAATCTTGATGAAATTGTCCCGTGTGCAGCGGGACATTAACTGTATGTAGAGTGACCTGCCACTCCTCCCGTACCGCGCAGCTACCTCAGGCACCGACTCATTTCGGCGGTAGGCCTGTATATACTCATTCGCGAGGCAGATTTCCTTCAGGGGAATAAGTAAGGGGAGTACCTGTACGAACACCCCAGATTGTTCTTTGTAAATATTTATGAAGTATTATTAAGAATAAAAGTAAGATTTGGAAAAGCATCATTTTGGTTTTTAATTTGCAATAACTTGTAAATCGACTGAACACTGCAAATGGAGTAGTTACATTTTTAGTAGCAGTAGAGCTCCTTGTGAAAGAGTTCATCCAGGGACATACTGCCACCTACCTATTTCTGCCGTCAAGCAGTAATTGTCAGCATTACTGTGTTCCGCTTTTGAGGGCTAAGGGTGCCGGTGAAATTACAGGCGCACGGAATTTGTCAACTAATGCCCAGAGCCCCTCGCATCTTTGCGATTGAAAGCTCTGAGTGGCACTGCAACTCTTATGGATAGGCGTGTAGCTTACTACCAGGCGCAAGACATGTTCGTCCCGTCACTTGATATTATAAAAAAAAACATGTACAACGCGACAGTTATATCTGTGGATCTCGACTCTTATTCCTCTTTGTCGACTGTCACCTCACCCTTGCCCACTTAGTACAGCCGCCACAAGCACAAAACGTTAATCGATTTTCTAATCGAAAAGATACCAAATTTTTTCTTAAGGAAATAATTAACCTACTAAATATTGTGCCATTTGTTTATACTAGGCAGTACAAGTAGTAAGTAGAACATGGAAGGGATTGTTGTCTAGCAATAAGGCCGCCTGTTGTTTGTTCTTTTGTGTAATAATGCAAATCTGTATTGTATTTTTACACCGAATATATCCCTCTGTGTTATTTATTGATAGCTCCACAGATACTATGAACCATCTATGAACGGGTTGTAGGTGAAAATCACAAAATTTTAAAAGGTAAAAACTTTATCTGCTAACTAGGGATGGGCATCGATTAATCGGATTAATCGATGTTCTTTTAATCGATGTTATTTGGTTCAATTCATCGGATAATTGATGATTTCATACCGATTTTTGCTAAAAAAAATACGCATCGCCTGGCGGTGGACTTGAAAAACAGGACGCGACGCGACGCTTCGACTCTGCGCCAGTGTGAGTTGAGCCTTAGATTGGCCTTTATTATAATTTGATTTGAAAAATGTGAGTAATTTATTTCATTCTAGTGATGACATTTGAAGACGCCAAACAATTCTTTCAACAATTTTTTCGCTTGTTGTTTGCAATGTTCTTTTTTGTTGTATTTTAATTATCGTTTTCAAAGAAAATAAAGACTTAGTTACTTGGGGTTCATTGTATTCATTTCATTAAAAAAGAAACGCTTTTCGTCGATTAATCGATTTTTGTTAAACCACGATTAATCGGTACATCAATTGTTTTGTAAAAAAAATCGATGTCAATAAACGATGTTTTGTTGGTTAATACCCATTCCTACTGTTAACTTAGCTTAAACCGTAATAAAAAGTATTACCTGTAGAGGCAAGTCGAAGTTCTTGCCGGAGATGGAGGCGCGCAGCATGGCAAAGGTGTTTGTAGGGTTCTGTTAATACCAGATTGATTGTCATCATAATGTAACCATATAGTCGGACGAACATAAGAAATATAAATTTGATTCTCACTGGGGTTCCGAACTACAACAGTCGTTCGAGTGTTTCGTTTGCACTGCTTAATACGATTATTATGCGCTTAATGCTTAATGCGAGAGTGGTGACTGCAGTATATTACTTACTACTAATTATCGCGTCTTTCAGAATGTGAGATCCACAACCCGCATTGGGCCACGATTCGGCGACAGATTAATTCGGTACAGTATAACGTTACTCACATAAATGATTAGAAATAAAAGTGTATAAGGAATTTTCACGATCGGTATTTTTTTCATTTTGCAATTCAAATATATGTATATTGCAGACTTTTTAAGATTATTTCGTCTTTGACGGGATGTCAAATCCCTCTGTTTGCGGAACGCATACGAGAGACCGGCGGCATGGCAGCGACCGGTCTGACCGTGTCTGCTGTACCTTGGAGACGGACTTGCTGGCCTCGCTATCCAGCACGCTCCCGAGCAGGCTGGAGGCGGGCGTTCGCGAAAAGCGCACGGGAGAGTTTACCGTGAAGAAGCCTCTGACGAACGTCTTGTCTTCGTTAGCCTGCGGCTGCGGCTCCGGTTCCTGCCGCTTCAAGGCCTTGCGTTTCGCTGGAACGCAATACGTCCAATGATATTCAGAGCTAATAGGCACAATTGAAATAAAAAAATCCAGTCACAGTAACACAACCAAAATGACTAAAGTATGGTTAACTTTCTATATAAGAGTACAAAGAGACCACTTTCGATCAGGTGGATAATTTGTTTCTTTTTATTGTAATTTTCATCCTTTTAAAGAAGAATTTTCTTATTGTTCAACTTGTCCAAATGATCTACTTTTTCCACATATCCACACGGTCCACTACCCCAATCTGTCAACTCGCCTAAATTTTAATGATGATAAAACTGGCAAAAAAAATATTACATCTTTTTAACTTAACAAAACTTTTGAAAAACTTGAGTCTATTTTCATCAAAATAGGCTTAGACGTTCAATTTCAGAAATGACCAGATTTTATTTAATAGACGATTTCTCTTATTAATTGTATAAGAAATTATACTTTACGTCAAGTCGAAGTCCTTTGTCCACAGCTTGGTGTACCTACACGCGTAATTTATGTAACCCGATCGTGGACTTTTACTTAAAAAAAGATTCTTACCAGCTATTATGTCTTTCAAACTACTCGAAGCGGTCGCTGCGAAGGTCGCAGCGACAGCAGGCTTGCCACGGGCCTTCTTGGTCTGCACCTGCGGCTTCTCCTCGTCCCTGTCACACGAGTGCAGCTCTTCCAACTTCTTGAACCGCATCTTTACATTGTCCACCTGCAATTGGTTATGCTTATTGTTAATTAATAAAGAAACTGGATTATGAAATATTCATTTTAAATATAGGAATTCCATCACGGTTTTAAACTGAAGTATTTTTAAACAAAAATTAATTCGCTGCCATTGATTACGGTACTAAAATGTAGCTTCCGCGCAAGTTTAGATGCCGATTGAACGGATAACTTGCTATTCTGCCACGAAGAGGTCCCGGGACGGGAGAAGTATTTGTACCTACATTAATTTCTCTCGAGAGTTTGGGTGTAATTTGTGGTCGTCTCTATGTGGATCTACGACACCCGCGATACAGGTTTTCCTAGTGCAGTGCTATGAGCGTATGCGTGTTTGCGTTATGTTTATAGAAGCAGTACCTGCTTGAACACCATTTCCCAGAAGCCGTGCAGGTCTGCGGGTGTGACCAGCGCGCAGCCGGGCTGGGGCGACGCGCAGCTTTCCACCAGGGACGCGAACTGCGCCATCTTCGACGACATTAGCAGGCGGGCATGCCCCACGGCGGCTAATATTGCGTCCTGGTAAGGTTCAATGGTTAGATTCACCGGCTATTACCAGTCGTGACATCTGCCTCAACGCAAAAAGCAACCGAGCGAATTAGAAAAAGAGTGTATCAAAATTACCTAAATTAGTCTCTTATTTTCAAAAAGGAAATCTTACTTAATAAAGCATAAATGTTAATGTTTCAGCAATTGGATATATAAGAACAAGCAGGATGTCGAGGCATACGCTACTTAATGTTTCAATGGTTAAAAGACGCGATGTCACCTTAAGGAACGGAAAAAAATAAAATAGTCTAAGGATGTCACACATCGAGTATATAACCAGAAATAGAGACGAAATAAGGGCCATATATTCCTGGTAACATATCAGCAATACAGCTCTTATAAATACCAACTCTCGTTTGCCCTGAAATATAGAGAGGCCAACTATTGATCTGTGTATGCGTCTCCGTATATTCAAAAAAATATTCTGTATTTATTGTAATCAAGATAATATCTCTAACAATCAATGCCGTGCTATTCTATTCGGTGGTGTGGGAAAAACAGCAAAACATCTAATTACAAAAGAAACGGAATCACATTTCATCGGTAATTAAATATTAAATGTGTAATTTTGCAATTATCGTCCATTATAGCAAAGCTCAAGTTAACTGGTCGATTTGAAGTGAAACAGTTGACGACACCCATTGACGACACCCGTCAATTGTTTCGAAACCGGGCTAGCTAATCGGAGCGCAGTTGTCACGATAATGATATGGCAGAATAGTTTTCAAACAAATTGAATGATATTTTGTCTCAATTTCTGATTATATACTCGATGATATCACACTATAACAGTAAAAACTGAAAGATAGTTTTGTTTTCAACCCCTAAAAAGAGATCATATTAAAAAAAATTTAATTTAAAAATTTTCAGACCTGCACAGACTCAGGTAGCACAGTATTTTTGGAAATGGCTTCCCAGGTGTTGCACATCTCAGTGATGTATTTAATCTCAGACGACAGCTGGTGACGAAAATAATTTATATTCTCCATATCACTCGCGTCGGCTTCAAGGAGGCCTGAAAGTGGTCATATGGAGAGAGCTGGAATTGAATTTTAAGACAGAAAAATAATCATAGAACATTTTTTCACATTTAATGTGAAATACGATGTTAGTGCTCTAAGTATTAAATTATGATACCAAGCACCTGGATATACTGTGCATTGAAGCATAAAAAATATGGCTAACTGTTTTTTCCTCTGACGCCTGCCATTTTATTTGTAACAACCATGTAACAACTCATATTAGTTGAAAATGTACGTCACTTTGTCCTCTAATTAGAAATAAACGTGTTATATATTATCTGGTCCAAGACTTGTATAAAATTTTATTAAGGGCTTTAATATTAAGAGAATTAAAAAATGCATTCAGAAATCATTGTTGCTCTTTTTCCTAATCCTTTTAATGAACGTTTAAAAAAGTTGATTAAACATTACCTTCTTGCATTTCCCACTTTGCCGCCTTCCTTACTTTATCCTTTCTTCTGGGTAGGGTAACCCAAGGACTGATCTTCGCAATTTGAATTTGTTCTGGAATCAAATCAATGGGAGAATTCGGAGCCTTATTTTGACCAGTATTCATAGCCCTTTTAATTACTTTTGAAATCTGGATGTCACTTCCAGAAGAACTGCTATGTGGGTTTTTAGTGAAACTGGATGGTTTAGAAGTATTTTTGGTTACCATGTTTATTTCTTGTCTCTCTGCTTGCATGCTTCCAGTCTCAACTAGAGATTTACCTGTATTTTTAAAGTCAGTATTTATCTGTCTAGTTAGAGTCTTTGATGTAGTCTGTTTCGCCGTGGCATTAGGTGCTAAAGGATCAAAAGTGATTGTTGTTTTTTCCTTGTTTTTATTTTTTGTAGGTTGTGATAAAATAGGAAGTTTATCTAAGGTTTTTATGTGTGGTGCTTTAAATGTTGCTCTTTTAGGTGCAAACGATTGAGCTCTACTCTGTTTTGGGCTTTTTGGTTTAGAAATGGTGTTGCATGCTTGAGAACGTGTAACTCTTCCGGAGGTGCTTGGTTTCGGGGGAGGAGGGGGTTCAAACTTCAATGGTGCTCTGACCACGCCAGTTATGAATGGTTTCTTTTTCTGAGAAAGTAGCTGTTTCTTTTTCTCTTCTTTCTCCGCTTTCCATTTCTCCATTTGCAGTCTCTTATGTTCCTTCAGTTTAGTGTCTGAAGTTGCCGGTAATAGGCTCTTGCATCTAGGTAAATCTCTAATGGTATCAAATGCAGTCAGCCTGTTGCTTTTCTTGTTTTTTATGTTCAGCTGCAACCGTTTCTCTGCCTTTAGATAATGGGGAAAAAGAAAATTTAAAAAATTATAGTTACATTACCATCTCAGCAGTAGTGTTGTTCAATGCAAGACCTAGACAAGACTAACCCCAGTTTTGGTCTTATTCTCGCGTCGGTACACCAGTAGGGGTAGCACGATAAGTGAGAGTGTGCCTGTGTGACGTAAAGCATGAGATCTCTGTGCGAGAATAGCAGTATCTCGCAATTTATGTCGCCATCGCGCTGGTCGCGCCCTGTTGTGCTAGCCTTGCTGGTCTTGGTCTTGTATTGCACCCTCAGTCTTGGTCTAGGCCTCGGTCTTGCTGCAAGAGTCTCGGAAGTCTTGCAAGTCTTGCATTTACCTATTTCTACTTATTAGCTATGCAAATGTACGATGGCTGTTATTGTAAACCGCAAGTTATTATAACGTTCGACGATGACCGGTATCGTAAAAAATCATTAATAACAATTCTTAACTAACAAACAACAAACAAACTTTAAACTATGGAAAAGATGAGTGAAATGAGCGTAAAAATTACGCATTTGCACAGAATGAAGTTTAACTAAGTTCAGTTAACGGCATGTCAACATAACCAAAAATGATAAATTTATTCAATTGACATTCACTCGAGTTTGGCTTATCCATTGAAGAAATTTTACATTTTGGAATAAGCTGTTGTCTGTAAGTTAGCAAGGTATGGAGAATAAGTTAAATTTAAATGGCATTGGGTAAAGAGATGTGTGGAGAGCACATGTAAAAATGTGTCATATTTTACAAAATAAGGTAATTTGAGTAATGTTACTTAGTTTTGTTTAGTTTTATGGGCACTATCACTGAGTGAAATATTATTTTGTCTATTTCTTACATCCTGTATAGTTATGTTTATACAATCCAATATAAGAGTACCTATTATAATAATAATAACGCACACTCAACATAGCTTTGCAACACTGGCAACATGTACTTGATAATATTACAAATACAATTAATAATAATAATATAATTTTTTTATTGAATTGATGTTCAATTATTTTTTACGTGAAATTACTCCACTAGTTTGTTATAATTATTGATATAAAGATCGAACACTTAGAAAAATTCCTTCGATCCGGCCATGCGGCAGGGTATTACGTACCCACAGACGTATATCTAGATAGACGCCGCAAGTACAGCAATTTGTAAGAAAACCAAGCGTGTCACATTTTTTGTACCCATTATGACTTCACACGCGTAAACACGCGTATTCCATTCAATTAATCGATTCTAAATATAATAATTTTTGTTCAAGTACTTGTTGATTACAAGTACTTAGTCGTAATATTAATAAGAGTAGAAAAATACTAGAATAAGAAAGTTTAATCCCATATTTTACTTGTTTCTTAAAAATGTTTATTAGTTAAAAAAAATTAAGACTAATTTTTAATCGATCAAATATTAAAATTATTGTCCTTCCAGTAAAATGAGCTTATTATATAACATCCTTTTGTAATAGAAAATCTTATCGATTAACTTAAATTATAAAAACGCACGTCAACATAATATGAACTTGTGACTGCCTTAATTAATTTTACGAGATGGTTTTCTGTTGGTAATTGATGAATGGCAAGACAAATGAAAATGTTACTGCTGATAAAATATGGTAAAATAGTTTATAGGTAGGATAAACTAGACCACCTTCGTCCTCGAAAGCAACGAACTCATACGTATGACCAACTCCAGGTTTTTGGAAAAACAGCGCACTGTTAATTTTTTGCTTTATATATTTTTTGTATTATTCGTACTACATATCCACCTATGTATATAATTATTTACTCACTATATTCGGACATTCGAGGCAACGTGCTGCAAAAACTATCGAAATTACAGATGCTAATGATAATAGATACTACACTAGTAGAAACTACTTACAGATGCTACTGATAATAGATACTACACTAGTACACTACTAGAAACTGAAAAAAAAAACGAAACTTTACTAAACGACATAACAAAAGAGTTCTAGAATATTTTTATAATATTTCTAAGGTCATAATCATTTCGTCCCTTTGTTTTCAAAATCGATCAGGATCGAGAACAGTGTTGCCTAACGTATACATCACTAAATGTTAAATTTGGCCAAAATATGAACAAGCGGCCGTATCACGACCCTGAATGCATTGTACAAAAGTGCGTTCATTCGATATTCATGGCTTATTAATAAAGGATCACATATATGTCGCACCAAGTAAAAGCCACAATGTATTACAAATCATGAGGCATACACTCGGTTGCATATTTGTTTTACAAAACCAAAATAATTGTTTTTAAAATAAATTATGCATCTTCTGATTAGAAAATCACTTGCCCGTGGAAGGAAACGTCCCTGTTTACCCGTTTACCCACAGTTATGGTGCTTTTGCAGTATATAATGGCACAATTGTGCATTTTTTCGCGTTTTCGACTGGTGTTTATCTACGACAACGGTCGAGCACGTTCTGAAGTGTAACAGCAGCAAGTAATTTCATTTACTTTGGGCACGCGAAGTTCGTACACTTGCGGCGTCTATCTAGATATATGTCTGTGTACGTACCCGAGCGTTGTTGTCAAGTTCCCGCGACTGTGATTTTGACATTATCAGGAGATAATGTGTCGTGTCTCTTTAGCTTCAGCTACTCAATACAACAAAACGTTTGAATAACTAATACGAAAATTACACTAAGAGGTGGGTATGTCACAACCGGCCACTTACCGCTGGTTAAACTAAATTAGAAATACAAATACTGCCTGTAAAAGGCCTCCTGGGTTTTTGGAAATATAGTGGGCTCTGCGCTAAGGATTTATGTCAGATCTTGACAATTATTTTATGAAGTTTCTGAAATTTGTTAGCTCAAAAACAAAGCCACTCACCCCACCGGAGACGCTGCTAAACTGCGATGGTTTACTCTTGTAATTGTTCTCGTTACTTCTTACATCAAAGAGATCTGCAAACCATATAACTACACATAGAAATAAACCCCTTGATCATTATTCCAAACCTACGTAGAAAACACATAAATTACACTTACTAAAATTATACTATACCCATTGACTTATAATTATATGTAAGTCAATGACTAATTTCTACCTTACACATAAATTGTATTATATTTCATGTGATTTGTAAAAGGCACAATTAAATAAATGTAAATACTCACCCATGATACCTGAAAAGGAAGTAAATACAAACTAAACAAAACGGTGAGAAATTCGATAAATCGACATACAACTGACGTCGCCAAAGAATACACGAATACCCCCTAAAGGATGGAAAAAAATAAAGGAAGAATACCCACATAATCTTTATAAAAGTAGTAGTAGTAAAATTTTCCGTCCTCCGGGACAGACTAAGGCCTAGTAAGTCTAGCCATACTGCCAAATCTTAGACTTCAATTTTTCTTCAACTTTTCATTTTATTAATGCGAATACAAATCTTCAGTGCGAAATTTAAATTTAAGGCGATATGCCAGATCTTGAGTTAACGTCTTGTGTTTTTGTAGATAGTTTTAGAGTCATTGTCATTTTAGAGTTGCAAGGTAAGTCCGAGTATTTTCTTTAAGTCAGAGCTCTCCAAGAGTGGAGTTAATAAAATCATAATAGGGATGAAATTTTCAGTGCAAGCTAAAATGGCCTGTACTGAAGGCGGGATCGTCTGATATTTTTCCAAAAGCCGGTCTATGAGAAGCAGTCGCTGAATATTGAAAGCAGGGCAGGAAAAGAAAATGTGTTCTAATGTTTGATCTTTTTGAGTCGTGCATTCAGTGCAAATAGGGGAAGTTATTATGCGCATACGATGTAAATGAGCTTTAAATCGACAATGTCCAAATCTCAGTCTATTTATCTAGGTATAAAATTTTCTTTGTAAATAATTGTATGAGACAGTAAACCATGGCTTTCGGCCCACTTCTCTATTGATACCAGGCTCCTTACGACTGTATTATAGCGGTCCTCTCTTCAATCCATTGCTGGTAGATTGTCTTGCGATATTCAGGTAGCAAATCTTGCCAAACTTTAGAAATATTTTTAATGTCGCCACCTAGAGTAATCATTAATTTGGCAAGCTAGTCGGCGTTTTCGTTACCTGTCACACCGACATGCGCTGGCGTCCTTAATAATAATAAATCTTTGTGCTCCGATATATTACTTAGAATTTCCTTTATTTCGTAAAGTAAATAATGTGCCTTGTTCTCAAAGCCTGAACTTCTGAATGCCTTAAGCACGGACATGCTGTCGTAAGCTGTAATAAATCTGCTCTTGTTCGTTCGTTCTTGTTTGAACACATAACATCCGATTGAATATACTGCAAAGCTAATATGATTGCCGTAGCTTCAGCCGAAAATACACTGAAGATAGCTGCTAAGCTATATCCTTTGCTATAATTTTGTGATTAGTATGCAGCTGACACTCCAGTTTCGCTTTTAGATGCATCAGTGTAGAAAACTTGATATTCCGGCTAGTCTGACAACTTTTCATGAACTTCTTCTTTTGTCCGTAACTTAAAATCTATATCAATTTGTACGGTAGGAAATTTGCCTTCATATATCCCACAATTGCAGGCCGTTACTATAGATGTTATTCTGTCTAATATATGCTGATATTTCTTTATAGTCATGTAGAATATACAGATAGGAGGATTGGAAGAGTAACAGAAGAAATTGTATTCAAAATGGGAATGCACTATGGACTTATACAACATGAGTAGGATTTTTGGATCAGCTCCCCAATATGTACGAGCTAGTGATTTATAAAGATTGAAAGCTCTTAATGCCCTGTCAGCTAAGCCAGAAACGTGTTTGATCCATGTTAAAATCCTTGTAAAGGTAACCTCTAGAAACTTTGCCTCATCACTGACTGTTTGACTTTTTGATTTGACTAAGACCAACGTGTTTTGTTTTGTTAGGATTTATAGTGAAAAACATTGACTTACAATTATATGGACGTCGGGTCCGCGCTAAAAAGTGTCCGAACTTAAAGGGCGTTAAAATCGTATACAGAGCGTCATTCACGCTTTAGTCTTCGTTTGTTCGACTGACAGCGAAGCAAGCAAAATTAGACAGTACTGCGATCACATTACAATTTAAATTCAACGTTTTAGCTTTTTCATATTCCTTTACATGTCACTACGTTTAAATAGGTTGACTTGGGACATTTTTTTCGTGGTTTTTGTCACAGACTACTTAGTGGACTACGTTGTTTTTGTAGTAGACTCGTCGTCCATTTATTTGTAAGTCAATTGTGAAAAATCTTATAATATAGTTTATAACAGTCACTGGAGTCTCATTTCTTTGTCTAATTGGAAAGTTTCCTACAATAGGTAAATCTAAACAATGAAGGATGGAAATTATGAAATGGAAATGAGATGGTAATAGCTGAAAGTAATGATAAGTGGATAAACAATAATCTAAATTTTAATAAGATTGTTCCTTATGAACTAAGCCAATGCATTATAAACAGTTCTTCCCAGTGTTGCCACTGTAGCCAATTTTTAGCTATATAGATTTATTCAGACTTACGAAATTATTAGGTACAAAACAAAATATTTAATAGCTAAACCTTTTGATCTTTTAGTAAGATAAGTGAAAAATTGGAAAAAAACGAAAATAAAGCTTAACCTTCAATATCACAAAATTATAATGATTTGATTGATATTGATGATAATTAATTTTTCGATTTATAATTTGTAAAGTTAAGAAAAACATGTATTTAAAAACGCAATCTCATAATTACGTTTTTTATCAGCCACTTTAGGCAATTTTACCTAGAATTAATTTCTTGGAATCTAGCAACTTTTTTACTTAGGTTTAAATACTTCCTCCTTGGGCAAAGTGGCAACACTACTTAGTCGTCCCTTTTATTTTTTAATGGTTTTGGCTTAGATACAAGTCCTTTGAGTCATGTCTTTATTTAATTATTAGATAGTAATATTTTTAATTGTAGTTCTAATAGATTGTTTCCAATTTCTCCTAAATAACTTAGTTCACTTATTCGGGTTTTTTACATAAGCATACATTTTAAGCGGTCGTAGTCAATATTTTCTTAATCAATCAAAGTAATCAATTAAAGTCAATTTTTTTATAATTTTTATTTTTTTTATGTTTTCACTTCTTATGCTCTTGAAGTTCGTATTTACGCTGCGTGTAGGCTGCATAAAATAGGATTTTATACTCTATTGCATAAAATAAAATAGTCGTTTAAGACCGAGGCAATGACGCCTGCGCCAACTGCCACACACACTAGAACTTTATAAAATAAAGTTTTATTTTTATTTTTTAATCCATGTTAAATTACAAAATGAAAAAAGTAGGCAATAGTAATTCTAATAAGTCATAAGAAATAGAAATGCATAAAAAATAAAAGATTGTAAAATATAACAGACCATTATGTAGTCCGACCTGAGTCTAGTGTAGAAATAATCGTTTATTTGTAATATTGCTGTTTAATTTCCTCGCAATCGAAGTGAAAAGCAGAGTGTATAACTCGTTCATAAAACCCATTTTACCCTTGACTTAAGTATCCACGCGAATACTTGTCTCGAGTAAAACGACGCGTTTTATGCAATTATTGTACAAATTACTATTTCAATTCAATTCAAATTCTTTATTTGCCACGTCACAAAGCTCGTAACATTTAGCACGTCAATAATAATCTTATCAAAGTCACTCACTCACTACTAACATTTAATATTACCTATAACTAACGCACACACTCAACACACTACTATAACTTCAAAGATTTGCACAATATACACATAAATTAAAATATTAATTTAATAATAATATATTGTTATGAAATAAATGGCATAAAAAATAAATCATTAATAGATACATTAAATGTCATAAAATAATGAGCATTTTTTTTTAATGCATAAGGTCAAAATATTCGCCACTTTATAGAATGGATTTTCAATTAATTTTTTTTTTATCTTTGTTTTGAATTCAAATTCGGGCAATTCGGATATAGTCGGTGGCAGTTCATTGTATAATTTTATCTTTAGACAGTAACCTTGCTTAGCAGTTCTGTTCAATCTCGTTTTTAGTACTATCAGTTTTTCTTTGTTTCTAGTATTGTGTGTATATCTCGGGTTCTTTTTAAGTTATTCTTCTTTTATGTACTTCCTTCAAGGAATTAAAAATAAACAATGATATTATTGTCATGACCCCCAATATAAAAAAAAAGATTTTTGCGGATATTCTTCTTTGGATACCACTGATTATTCTTATAGATCGTTTCTGTAGCACCAGAACGCGTTTTACCTCCGCGCCTTTGCCCCAAATTGTCACAGCGTAATTTATTATCGAATGAATGTACGCATAATATATAGTCAACAATGTATTTTTATCGATTAATGGCTTTAGTTTAAGAAGTGCATAATTTCCACCTGCTATTTTATTACACACATTATTGATATGAGTTTAATGCAAAGTATTAGCAACAGCATAGCCTAAATATTATGTATTTGATTTAAAATCTAGCGTACGTTGTTTTCCCGAGCAATATTTCATAACAGTTGTTTTCTCTTTATTGAATAGTATACCGTTAGCAGTAAGCCATTTGTCTAATAGGCTAACTACTTCACCAACTTTTTGTGCCATAAATTCCTCTTCCTTATATTTTATCCCGAAATGGGTGTCATCACCAAATAAATTGACAAAGATCCACTTAGGCAAGCTGTTTTGCAAGTCATTTATATATGTTAGGAATAATATAGGGCCCCATACAGATCCCTGTGGTACCCCGATGTCAGACTTTCCCAGTACAGAAACAGATTCTTCAATTTGTACCAATTGATTCCTATCCTTCAAAAAAGCTATTTAATAATCTTAATGCAACAGGATCCAGACCGTAATACTCATGATTACACATAAGGATATTATGATGTATACAATCAAAGGCCTTTGAAAGATCGCAAAGTATGCTCGCGCTTTTCTGCAAACCATCCAAAGCCTCTAAATCAAAGTCAACCACATTGGATATTGCATCTGTAGTTGACCTACCCTTCCTAACTCCATATGGCACTGTACTATAAATATTTTCAATGTCTAAGTAGCTAGCAAGTCTAGTTTTTTATTACACACTCCAAATTTTTTGATATACATGGCAGAACACAGATTGGCCTGTAATTGTTCATGCCATCTTTAGATCCTTTTTTAAAAAGAGGAATTACGCGTCCTTTTTTAGTACTACTGGAAACACTCCTTGGCTTAAAAAAAGAATTCATTACATGAAGCAAAAGTTGCTGTAAGTAACTGTCTTCTAGGATCAAACGTTTCAGCGTTTCAGTATCCATGCCTTAAACATCTTTAGTTGGTTTTCCTTTTATTTCTTTTATCACTTTAATGAGTTCTTTATTTTCAATGGTCGTGAATGTCAAGGTAGATACTGGTTGTTCTGTGCGTTCTAAGTACACAGTGTTCACTTTCACAGAGATCACTTTGAACAAAAACTTTGAATTCGTAATTAGTAATTTTTCAGGATAAAGTCTTTTGTAATTTGGTTTCAGTTAAGGAATCTAGTTCTAACTTTCTTCATCACTATTAAACTGCCTCTGTGGCCGAACGGTTACCATGCCGGACTGCCACGCAGAGGTCCCAGGTTCGATTCCCGGGCCGGGAGAAATATTTGTATGGCCTACATTTATTTCTCTCGTGAGTTTGGGTGTAATTTGTGGTTGTCTATGTGTGTCCATGGCACCCGCGACACAGGGTTTCCCTAGTGCGGGGCTATGTTGAGTGTGTGCGTTATTATTATTATTATTTCTTTTTTCGTTTTTTCTTCATAATATACGTAAAATAAAATTAATAATCTTTATCAAGACTGTAGTTGTAACTTCAAAAGCCTGCCATTTCCTTAGTCGTCCCGCTTCAGATAAACCACAGAGTACTTTATATATAGATAAACTGCTAGCTCCCAAAGCTAATACGTAGGTACAAAATGGATTGGAGTAATGCGCGGGTCTTGTATTTTCTAGAACTATATGTATGAAACCGATAATCATTTGAAACCTAAAACGTCCAAAGCAGAAAATTAAACACAAAGTTCACGATGCATGGAACCGTATTAATGAAATATAATTATTATTAAGTTACCAGTCAATGAGTTGAAAGCGATTCTGCGTTAATGGCAAATTTTCGTGCGTATCTTCGTAAGAAAAAACAATCTATAATATCGAGTATAGGGGTGGAAGATGTATATGAACCTATATGGTTCGCATATATATACTGCCATGGAAAATTTCTTGGGATCAGTGCATGACTGCGAACGCACAATAGACACTGAAGATAATGTAAGTATTTTTATACCATTGTATATACGTCGGTGTCGTGTGCAATGAAATGTAAACGTTTGTTAATTTTCGAATATATGTAATATATATAATAATATTAGATATATATAACATAAGTTATTCCAAAAACAAGTACCCACTTTGTGTTGTGATAAAAAATATGTAATAAATAAGTAATCATGTCATGGATTTTTTTTAAAGTATACTTTTATTTCAGGGAAAAGTAAACAACCAGTGATAAATATACACTCGGTATTTTATATATTTATCCATATCATTTTCGTAAAAATTATTACAAAGCATTTGCTTTTTTTAAATTACGTTTGTGATTTTATCATCACTAGGTAACCACTTTTAAAGCTACGGAATTTATTAGATTTTAGTCAGAATCTACTACTAAATTGACAGCAAATATAATTACCACGGATTTATATATTTTATGAACTGGAGCGCGCACTTCGATACACCAATATTACAAATTTACACCTTATAAGGTTATGTTAAGGTTTATTTTAAGTAAAAGTAAAAACCGAGTCACGTGAGGTAGCTCGAAGTAGTGATCTGTCGTTGTCTAACAAGTTGCCAACGCTAAATAAAATCACCTTACGTAGTGTCTAGTCTATTAAATTTTTAAATTTTGGTTGAATAAAATTTAGCATAAAGGTAAAAAAGGTACTGTATTAAAAAAATATCAACAATGAAACCTTCTATTAGGAAGTAGCATATCAAATAAGTATACTAATTTGTATTATGAAATAATATTAGTAGTTTTGGTCATCCATAAGCGGCCACATTTTCTGTAAAAATTAAAAACAATATGACTGGCTGAAACATGAATGAAAGAGACGCATTACTACTTTGCTTAGAGGATGGAAAAAAAATTGTCTAGCTACTTTGAAGCCTCTCACTCGGCTCATTTTATTAGTTTAGTGCGCGGTCCAGTTTAATATAAGTTTCGTCCGTGACAATTACCCCGTTTGAGTGTTGTTCGAGAATTTACAATAACCTTTTTTGGTATACATTTTAATGAAAATGCATTGTATAAATATTTACGAAAATGATATGGATACATGCCATGAAATACCAAGAGTTTATATTTACCATTGATTGTAGTTTGTATACTTTTCTATCAAAAAAAAAGTACACCTTTAAAAAAAACTCGTGTCCTTTGACTCGTGCTCGAAATACCGCTCACGACGCGATCGGCGATCGCACGAGTGACGATGCGATTAGAGGTGGGTGATAAATAACGTCACGATGAAAAAATCACGATGATACGCCGTCAAACAGTATCACCGTGACTCGTTCCGAAGGAACGACGTTCCAAAGTCACATAGGTGTTCCTCTGTTCCAATGGCTATCCCCGTCACTCACATCACGACATACGTATTTGATACAATGCGCGATCTCCGTTCCGTGGTGACTGAGCGCGCCACTCGTTGTAGTTCTCTTCAAATCGGGCCATTTCGGCGAAAGGAGTGAGCGAGATAGGATGACTTTCTTTGCTCACTCACAAAGGTCGTAGGTGCTTGTTACAACTAGAAAGGGGGGATGAAAAAAATCTGCAGTAGTTACTATAAACCTATTTATTAACAAAGTAACATATTTTTGTATATTTGTTTTATTATAGGAAGAGTTGGTATTTTATATTTATGTATACTTTGTGTATTCTACTAGAAATATAAGTACATAACACTTTATTGCTATTTTTAACAATCCAAAGATTCACATTAAATAAGTAACAAAATTACATTAAATACAAAATCAACTTTTTGAGTGGAATTGAAACTTATTACAAAGGGAGTAAAAACTTAAATCATTCTATAAAAAATGGCTATAAGTATTAAAAAGAAGCCGCTGGCTAAAACCGTATATCGTGATATAAGTTATAGGCGTGACAAGGTGACGGAAGTAACAGTCGTGACAAAATCACGGTGATGTATCGCCGTGATTTTTTTGGAACCAGAACGACAGTCGCGGCGATAGAAATGTAACGCTGTTCCCCATGTCTAGATGCGATGCGCGACGCGAATAGCGAAGTGACCGTTTACACATACGTGTCCTGCATCGCATCGCCTATCGCACGAATGTGTGAACGCGTTTTAACCACTCGACATTGTGTCTCGATAATGTGAACGCGGTGTTAGAGGATGGAAAAAAACGAATGCAATCCTGCTACCCGGTTAACCGAAAAAACCGAATAATCCGGTTTTCAGCTAAGGAAAAACCGGATTTTTTGGAATTTTCGGTTAGTCTTTAAACTATTAAAACGTAAATTTGTAACTCATAATATTATCGTATTGTAGTTAATATTGATAAATAAGTTAATAATGATAATAAACGGTAATTAAATGCTAGGAGCTCGGGTACCTAACTACAATACAGTGACAGCGTCCTCGAGACAGAGATCCCAAAAGTTACCCGCATTTTTGGGATAGCGAGAAGGGAGCGAGGTGCGCGAACAATATAGCAACAAATCCGAGTCACCTATGCTCTTGGCAGCGTTTTCAACTGAATCCAAGGCAAATTCAATCCAGACTGGATATGTGCTTCGTACAGCTTTTTTGAAGCAATTGTTCCAGTGTGAAGTAACACCTCACCTTGGAAAGGCTGTCAAGCTTCCTGGCTGACCATGACCATGAGACCATGACGATTTTTGACCATGGATTCTATGCATCTAACCAAGTTCCATACCACCCCAATAACCACCCTGGATAACAGGCCCATTCCAAGTAGTTGGCGATCGTCGGCTATCGGTATGGATATATCACAAAAAGGCGGAGTCCGGTAAAAGGAACTCTGTTTTGTGGAGAATAGACACGCCTGCGTTTTAGTGGCGTTAAATTTTATAAGTTTCATACCACCCCAATTAGAGACAGCCACAGTGTCAAATCCAAACGACTATTCATAGACACTTGACAACACTGGATTTCTTTTGCACTGACCCTTGCATTGATCAAGTACCTATCTACAACTATGCTGTCATCAGAGTACTTGAAGGTACCTGAAATTAACATATCGTTGATATGCGGCAGAAAGAGAGTTGCGGAAAGTACGTAATCCTGACGCACTTCGGAAATCTGTCGCCCATTGTAGTGTAGTAAGATCGAATCTCGAATCGATATTAGGATGGGTTCCTACCATTACATAGGCGAGAGCACCTACTGCTTCTCTGTAAGGAAACCTTTGTACAGGTATCAACTTTCCCTGTTTAAACAACTTCTTTCTCAATCGGTGTTAAAATTGGATTGCATTCGGCCATCCCAAAACGTTGTAAAGTATTTAGTTCCCTCAATTTCAAGACCTAAGTAATACGATGCAGGTTTTGTAGTAATATTAAGTCTGTTTCTAACATCATTCAAAAAACTGTTCGCTAGTTCTGTATCCGTAGCGGCTATTAAGCCATTGTCAACATACAATGCATGCATAACTCTATGATATAATGTTATCAATATTTTTTTCTGATTAACCTTTTTGATGAATAAGCAATAATCAGCTTCTCTCTGTTCGAAACCCATATTTAAGAGAATTAGCTCTAAATACAAATTCCAGCATCTAGGTGCTTGCTTGAGCCCATTCAAGCTGCGCTTGAGACGACATACTTTCATCGACCCATCACTAAAACCATCTGGCTGCTTCTTAGAAATTTCTTCTCTATGTTCACCATTTAAAAAGGCTGTAGAAACATCAAATTGTACCAAGTGAAGTTTCTCTTGTGCACTTACTTATCTTCTCTCTCCATAGCTTCTCTGTATGTCTCTGGAAAATTTTCAGAGTTTAAAAAACAGACGAAGTCCTTAAAACGTTATTCGTATTACGTAATTCTCAAATTGTATCTAGGTTTAGCTTCAGATTCGATTACCTCATATTCTTGGGCATCCAAGAATTGTTCTGCTTCATCATCATGAACTTGATCTGATGTTACAGCAGATTCATCCATGGGCACTGTTGTACACTCTCCCTCCAGAGCAAGTTCAGATTCACTGAGTCGTTGTTCTAGAAATCGAGGTGGATCTTTTATGTCGTTATTCTGCGAGAGAACGTTATTTGGAAAGATACGTCCCTCTATCTCTTGACCTGTTATTTCTGGAATGACCTCTGCCTCTTTGCTAGGCAACTGTGGAGTCATTTCCCTTGGTAGATCAGTTACCGTCATTGGAATTCTTAACTCCAGTCCTAGACAGCCTGTTGTCCATCCCAGATGCGGTAGCCATCATCATTGTCATATCCGATGAGCCTTCCTTTAACAGCTTTCCTATTTAGCTTCTTCCTCTTTTGCTTAGCAACGTGAAAATAGCAATCGCTTCCTTTAACACGCAAGTGCGAGATCTTGGGCTTCTTCTTATGCCACAGTTAAAAGGTACTTTCCCATCTAACCTCGTGGGTCCCGTACGATTCAGAACATAAGCAGCTGTATTGATCAGCTCTACCCATAAGGCTTGCGTAAACTCTTCTCTAGAATGCATGTGCAACCGAGCGGTTTCTACAAAAGTCCTGCTCTCTCGTTCAGCACACCCATTTTGTTCCGGTGTTTATGGCATTGTAATCCCGTTTTTTTTTCAGTATCTCACGAACGGCTTTTTTGTCAAACTCGCCACCATTGTCGCTCAGTAATGTTTTCATGACGTGCCCAGCGTTCTTACTTTCTTTCAAAAATTTGTTGTAGTTTATCTTTAACATCACTCTTGTTGCATATGAAATAAACATGACGAAATACGGAATAATCGTCTTTAAAGAGAACAAAATAGCGATAATTCGAGTAACTTTCCGGGAATAGTCCGCATACATCAGCATGTATGAGCTTTCCTGGCAAAGAAGCTCTATCTCTCTTAACAAATTTCAGCCGTTGTGCTTTTCCATAAATGCAACGCTCACACTGTATATCATCCGAATTTATCGATTCGTAATTCCCTCTGTACAAGATCCTTAATGTACCTTTTGTTCGGTTGACCAAACCTTTCGTAATATAGCTGGAGCAAGCTAGATGAAGAAACTGCATTTACTTGAATAGGATGTTTTAGTGGGACTGTCTTCAATTGCAACTTATACAAACCTCCATTGTGGTTTCTGTTTCCTACCACAAAGACTTCCACCATTTAGAACCATCCTACATTATTTAGTGGTCGATATAAATATGCTGTTGTATATTTTGACTTATGTTGCTAATTCTGAAAATAGATTTTTGTGTCGTTAGTGACATTGTTCTTTCTTTTTACTCAATGTTGGATGCTCCAACTCTATTTGAAATTGAAAAATTTTCAACGAGGATATCTAAAAATTTACATATCAAAAAGAGTTCTGATAGCTTCATATTAGGATCAGCCTTGAGAACTTCTGCATTGAAATCATTTCAAATGTTTTTTTAGTTTCGACGTCATTATTGATACAACATCATTGGAACTATTTTTAAAACTAAAGAATTACATTCACTATGTGTATGCCTCGTCCTCTGTCTGTCCATCACAAAGCCGATGAAGCTCCTGCACCGAATGAAGTGCCGATGAAGCACCGTCACCTGTTCCCAGTGTGGGCTTGGAAAGTTTTCATTCAACTGCCTCCATGGTACCTTCTGTACCTTGCAGCATAGCAGTGACCTTATACTTCCATGTTGCCCAGTTCCTACTGCCTTCAAGTTGATCAATATAAATTTTTGAAGTAAACTGATCTATCTTGACGGCGGTTCAAGCTCGAGCTGGTGTCCAATAACCTGCAGCAGTACACGGTTTCACGAGGAATTTATGAAAGTACGAGCAGAAGACGAACAGATAGTACAGTTCACAAAATGTTTAATAAAACTATGCAATGTAAAGTAAATAAAATAAACTTTCACTTTCTTTTAACAACTCACTGACACAACTGTTATTTTGGTAGCCCATGGTAACCACACTCTTCCTTCAATTTGTAACAAGAAGTCTCTACTATAACAGAGTAAAGTTTGTGACAGCTTTGGCCAGGGACCAAAAAGCCTTGCTACCTGCTAGAAAAGAAGCAGACTTGGCCCCTGTTATATATATATATATATACACTATGGTTGGTAGATCTATGGTTAAAATTGACACTGTAAAATGTCTTCTGCAAATAATAAAAATGCTTGGATTATGTTAATATTAGTTTATTTCATTGGCGACGAGGAGAAACAAAATGAATAAGGAACAATTCCAAGAATTTCTACAATTACAAAAAAATCAGCAACAACAGATTTCGGACATTTTGCAACAACTTGTGTTGCAGCAACGACCAGCAGTGGAGCTCCCCACGCCAGCAACACCTGGCACGGAACCTACCAGCTCGGCAAGCAGCAACAAGTACACTATTATTAAAAGTTTCAAATGCGACACTTTTAACCCTGCGACTGTATCGGTAGAAAAATTTTTAGATTTTTTCGAAGCCAAATGTGACATATGGGCCGTAAGTGATAATGACACAAGGAAAGAATTATTATTTTCATGTATGTCTCCTGAGATATTTCACGACCTAAAAATAGCACTCGTTCCTAACTTTGGAAACAGTTCCTACAATGACATTAAGTCTAAACTACTCGATTTACATCGAACTAAAGTTACGAGGTATAAAGCACTAACTGAATTTTGGAGTTGCGTACGAGCCCACAACGGGACTATGGAACAGTATGCTAACAGGCTAAAGAAACTCGCCAGCGATTGTGGCTACAAGGACACAATGTTTCAACGTCAATTGCGCGATCGATTTGCTACCGGCTTAAATCACCCTCAACTAGAAGTGGACCTAAAACAGAAATGGCCAGACCTTCAAGAGACTTACGACGGAAAACTTATAGAGGTTACTTTCGATCAATTTTTTGCAGTAGCTCAGTCCAGAGAGTTAGCAGAAGGTGATGCTGATAGTAGCATGCCCGCTACCGCTAATAAAGTAAAAGCAAGAACAAGTACAGGACGTCACTATAAACAATGTACGTTTCTACGCAAACTAAGTCCAAACCAGTGCCGTCGATGCGGTGCACAAGAGAGACATAGGCTAAACGTTTGCAAGGCAAAAGACCATACATGCGATGAATGCCACATACAAGGTCATTTTGAAAGTTGCTGTATAAAGTCTGGTAGGGCATATTTAGCGAGCACCGCGACAGAAAAGAAACAACCAACCAATTGTAGTAACAAACTGCATAAAATTAAGAACAATGCACACAATGATGGAAGTTCGTCACAGTCTTTTGACACGAGTTCTGATGAAAGTGATGATGTCTTCAAGGTTGAACGCAAGAGAAACAAGGACAGCAAGAGAATTGATGTAACCGTCAACGGTGTCAGTTGCACATTCGATTGGGACCCAGGATCCGTGTACTCCATTATTAGCACAAATTTCTGGAAGCGGATCGGAGAACCCTCTCTAACCAAGGCACCGAAGCTACGAGCTTATGGGAACCTTAAGCTCAAACCAAAAGGTCTCACAGACGTAACCGTTGAAATCATGGGAGAGCGGAAAATATTACCTGTTGTGGTTATGGAAGACGCCAATCCAATGCTTTTTGGCCTCCAGTGGAGCGAGATGTATAAAATGACATTCCCAGAGCCAGTCTATTCGGTTAAACCCGTTCAACACACCACTTTGCTTAAACAGGTATCAGAGTACATTAAGACCGGCTGGCGTGAAAATTTTTATTCAGATGACTTAAAGCCCTATGCTCGGAAGCGCACTGAGTTGTCCATTGAAAATAAGATATTAATGTGGCAAGGTCGAATAGTAATACCGAACACCCTGAGAAAGGCCACCTTGGAATATCTGCATACAGGACACCCAGGCATATCCGCAATGAGAGCGCTAGCACGTTTTTACGTATGGTGGCCGTCCATTGATGATGACATTGAGGAGTACATTAAACGTTGTCGCAAATGCCAAGAGAATCGGCCGAACAACGCTGAATTGCCTATATACTCGTGGTCCGTTCCTGACAACCCGTGGGAAAGGCTACACATTGATTTTGCAGGCCCGTTCGAGGGAAAATATTGGTTTGTCTTAGCAGATGCGCTTTCGAAATGGGTCGAAATTAAACCCATGAACCAGATAACCACTTCTAAATGTGTGAAGAGTTAGATTCCATTTTCACCACTTCGGCTTCCCTCAATTCTTGGTTTCTGACAATGGACCACAGTTTACTTCTCAGGAATTTCAAGACTATTGTAGAGACAAGGGTATTCTACACATAAAATCATCCCCGTACCATCCCCGGACTAACGGTTTGGCTGAACGTCTGGTTCGCACTTTCAAATCCAGGCTATCATCAAGTGCCATTGACCATCTCACCTTGAAAGGACGACTAGAAAATTTCCTTTTTTCCTACCGCATAACACCTCATTCCACCACCGGTAAGAGCCCAGGACAACTTATGTTCGGACGTCAGCTGCATTGTATTTTGGATAACGCACGCCCTAACTCTAAAAAGGCCCTGCAGCATAGGCAGATACAGGCTAATATAAATTCAGAAAATTTAACACCATGTTTTAGATCGGGGGACAGCGTGTTTGTCCGAGCCCGGGATGGGTCACGATGGGAACCTGCTACCATATCCAGACGTACGCATAGATACTCGTACACCGTAGACACAGCCAATGGGGTAGAAAGGAGATATCATGCTGATCAAGTGCGTTCCCGCTTAGCCGACCATATCAGTCCAGTTTCTACTGATGACTCTCAGGCCACACACGACCCGCATCATATAAACACCAGTGAGGTGGAACCCCTTGCAAGTTCGTTAGGAACGCAGAACTCAGCTACCACCCCAATGCGGCCATGCGCTGCTACTACGCATTCGCCACCTACCACGGCGTCCCTACAGCGAGCATCAAAGCGCCATGAGCGCACCATCAGGCGACCTCGGCGGCTTATCGAGGAGATGTTGTAAATTGTAGGGATGGACGAATGTTATATATATACATATAAACACTATGGTTGGTAGATCTATGGTTAAAATTGACACTGTAAAATGTCTTCTGCAAATAATAAAAATGCTTGGATTATGTTAATATTAGTTTATTTCAGCCCCTATATGGCGCACATGGTCGAACTTGGCTCTGCATAACACGTATTTGTACGTCTTGGCGGTCTTATTAAAATTCTTCATCTTCAGCTTTGCGCAGTCAAGCATACGCTGCTTTTGTGCTTCTGTACAAGCTTGGGTCTATTCGGTACATCAGAGTATGGTATGTAATACTCCACACCTAAACGCAAGACTTCGATTACAGTAGTATGAGCACAGCTCGACGAGTTCCCTGAAGTAAAGCAAGCCTGTCAGGGATAGGGAGCAAATAAATATAGCAGTTCGTCCCAGTCTGCTAACCTATTTCGCTACACCCGTCTCATACCGCCATCTGATCGGGTGGTTTCAAGTTTTAGGAGACAATAGACAGAACAATTAGGCGTATGAGACTTAAGATCTGGGATCCTGGTGGCGCTACTGACAAGCTGGGAAAGGCTTAGTGTAAACGCAAGTTTTCACGACCCTCTCCCAGCATAATTAGGTAGGTTATTTGGTATGGGCACAACCATCCTTTCTTTCCCCAGAATTATACCGGCGGCGCCTCTGTATACCTGTGACGAACATCATCATAGTGGAGTAATTTCACAAAAAATATTGAGTATCATGGTGGTGGAACATCCTGATATTCAATAAAACATTTGATATTTTGATGATTAGATTAGCTAAAAATATTGACCAAGTAACTAAATAATGAAGTGTTTTTAAAACGAATTCAATGTTTTTTGGGTTGTTACTTATATTTTTAAGTCACTCAGATGACTGATGACTTCTCACTCAGATGTTGTAACATCTTGAACAGAGAATTAGACTGAAAAAGAAGATGTTTCATTGCTTGTCTCTAAAATATGTATATTTATTTAAGAGTATTTGAATTGTTGTTGATTTTTTATCATAATTCGAGACGTTATTGACCTTAATAGCTGTAAATTCTATAAAAAAAAATAATTTACAAAACACTGACTTGATGTTTCTTAGTTTTTTGACACTTTTAAAGAATTATTTGGGTGACAGTAGAAAAATATCCGAAAAAACTGGGTAACCGAGACTTAGGGTCGTATTCTAGAACTGTACTCGATGCTCAAGTCAGGATTTGAGTATGGCTTAAAGCACTCGAAATCATACTCAAGTCCCTGCCATTAGGGTCGTATTTCCAGTGCTTGTGTTGCCAGTGCAATCCTGACTTGAGCATTGAGTAGAGTTCTAGAATACGACCCTTAGGGTCGTATTCCAGGACTCTACTCAATGTTCAAGTCAGGATCTGAGTATGATTTCAAGCACTGGAAATACGACCCTAATGACAAGGACTTGAGTATGATTTCTAGTGCTTTGAATCATACACAAGTCCTGACTTGAGCATTGAGTAGACTTCTAGAATACGACCTTTAATAATCGAAAAAACTGGTTTTCTAAACGCGTCTCTGCCACTCGACACGAATGTTTCGTCGATTATTATATGCGATATAAGGTGATACGAATTACAACACGAATAACGAGCTATAATATGTTATATCCCGAATTCCAAAAAAGTCGGGATCAAATAAATGTTCTAAGTCCAATTTGTCTTTTGGGCCGGTCACCGCCATGAAAAAAAGAAATCAGCTATATTGCTAATCAAAGCCGAGCAGTTGGTATTTTAACACTACAACTTGGCCCTAGTCAAGCTTATCTATTTATTAAGGTATGAACTGAATTCAACTTGTTGAGATTATTTTTAACGTAACGTTTAAAGATGGTCTCAGTTTTAAGAGTTAAATAATAACATAATAAATATTGAGAATAAATAAATATTATTACATGTGGGGAATTCGTGGAAAATATGAACTTTGCTCTCCGAGTTCTTACCTTGATTTTTGGGGATTTTGAATTTGTAGCATAGGCAACGCTGCAAATAGGAGAAAAGAATCGGATGTGTATTTCGTCTTCCCGCAAAAGCATGGAGCGCGCCTTCAGATAATCGGACCGGCAATAAAATCGGACTCTATTTCCAACTCAGATATTCTGTTATTGAGTGTTGAAACAAATATAATTATGGCTCGAACGCCTTCTGATAGTCGGATCAGACTATTGGATCCAACTATCGGATGGAAAAATCTGACGTGTATCCGCACTGATTCATTCATTCAATCAGACAAAGTTTTGAATTGACATAAATTTCATTCAATTGTATTTGACTTTGACGTTTGATAAAGTGGAAATTAACGAGATTTTGTGATTATTTTTTTTATTAGGTGTGACGTATCGATTATAGCACGGTTCAAATGGATTACTAGATTCGGTTTCGGAAGTAATTGCAGTCTTCGATAGAGCGTGCATGTCGTCTCAGTAAAAGGCTTCGTCCGAGTGAGTGGTACAACATGAGCTACTGGCACATTATAGTGTGTTGTGCATTTACTTTTTATTTAGTGGACTGTGCCGTGCTCGTCGAAGATGGCGATGTCGATGAACAGGGACTGTACAGTAAGTCCGATCATGTTGTCATATTGACAGAAAAGAATTTCCAAAGGAAAGTGTATGGCCAAAAATATGCTCAAGTAATACAATTCTATAATAGCTTTTGTGGACATTGCAGAGCATTCGCACCTAAGTATAAGGGATTGGCTGCAGAAATGGTACCATGGCAACCCATTATTAGACTAGAAGTATTTGACTGTTCTGTGGAAGAAAACATTGAAATTTGTAGACAGTTTGAGATAATGGCTTACCCATCCATTCGTTACATTCATGAGAATTATCTTAAAGGAAATGCGAACATTGGTGACAAAATAAGACCAGTTGACACAGCTGAAAAGTTAAAAATGCATCTTATATCAAAAATGCAGGTGGAGCAATTGGCAGGACGATTATCTTTTGCCCCTCCGCTGGGCATCGCTTCATATGACTCATACTCTGCAGCAGTAAATGATGTTCCAAGGGATACTGATTACATATTCTTGATTTTCGAGTATGCAAATTCCACAGTTGGAACTGAAATTGCTTTGGATATAAATGACTATAAACATGTTAGAGTAAAGAGATTGCTTGACAACAGTGAATTAACGCAGGTAGCAGGGGTCACTCGCTTCCCTAGTATCATTGCCTATACACAACGGACTTCAGAGAGCACACCACTTACAACTGCCGGTGTTGAGAAAAAACACTTTCTTAAAGCTATTAAGGTATTTTTGAATTCTAAGAATTATAAATTTCCTGTTCGTGCTACTGTTGATGAAGAAATGAATAGTGACTTAGACTATCATCAAATATCTAGCCCCAAACCTGACGTTGTCTACTACAGTGACTTGGAAAAAACCATAAAGATAAGTTTGCACACTGAAGTCAGTAGATATAAAACACTTGATGGGGAGCCACTGCAAGCATTATTAAATTACTTAAAAGTTCTTATAACTTCTTTCCCAGCTAGAGCAAATCTTAAAGAGTATCTAGTTGAATTACATGACACTCTAAATGGCAACACAGAATGGAATGGTAATGATGTTTATGAAATGGTGAAGAGGCTGGAAGCTGCTCATGCACCCATATACACTTCCAATTCAGACTACATTGCTTGCAAAGGAAGTCAGCAAAAATTCCGCGGATACACTTGTGGATTGTGGACCTTGTACCACACATTGACTGTGAATGCTGCAACCATAACCACGTTAACGGAAGGTCCTAAAGTACTCCAAGCTATGCACGGATATGTAAAACATTTCTTTGGGTGTACTGAATGTGCTCAACACTTCCAGGCAATGGCAGCAAGAAACAGATTATTTGATGTAAAAGAAAATGACAAAGCCATTCTCTGGCTCTGGATATCCCATAATGAAGTGAACCTTAGATTGGCTGGAGATGTTACTGAAGACCCTGAACATCCTAAGATACAATTCCCCAGCTCTGTAAATTGTCCTGAATGTCGGCTTGCCCGCGGTGCATGGAACCTTCCTGCTGTTTATCAGTATCTGCAGAAAGTATATGGAGCAGCAAACATACAGGGGTCACGAAAAGCGCGCTCTGAGGCGACGGTGACGAGTCCATTCTCCAACCTGGACATTGGAATGCTAAGCTTCCTGTACATATTGTCTTTTATTATACTCATTCTAGTCATAAAATATTTCTTAACCAAGCGTTTTTACAGAAATCGTTATTATAAGCATGGAAGGGGTAAAGTATAATAATTAGTCATAATTATTAACGGGTTTAGTTAATTTCACAATGATTATTCAGTGTGTGAATTTAGTATGGGTGGGTGTACATTTCCACCCTTCGGTTTTCACTGGGAAAATATCTTACTTATCAGTATTTTAGATGTGGAACCAATTGTGTACTAATGCAATGAAATCATATTCATAAATTCCTGCATGTCATACTCCACAATTTACTAGATACAGTAATTTGGCCATATTATCTAATTTAGCAATCATGTAGTACATATTTAAGTTGTTATTGCTTTCTTGGTTGCCCACTTTATCTGTAATTGAAATAGCAAAGCAGCCTTCAGATTGGTTCCATGTTTAATTATTATTAACTTGATTTCTGATAACCAGTCCCAACAAATTATATACCTATTTACGTTTAGTATAGGGCATGTGTTGATTTTTGTTATTACTTACCAAATTTTATTTTATACAATGTTTTACCACTATTTTTACTTCTAATGAAATCTTTAATGACTATGGTGCTTCCTGAAAGCTATCTACCTTTCAGACTTTTAAAATACCTGCTTAATATTTTAATATAATTGCTCAAAATGTATCTTTACGTAAGATAAATACTATAACATGTTTATTATTATTAGTGCATTACATACATACAAATAACATACGGTGTATCTGCTATAAATTTACATGCTAAAGTCATTTGTTTGTTCCAGTGTATACATGATCATGATCATTCACATGATCAAGATATGCGATCGCGTTTTGGAGTTTCGTATATCCTGTCTCGTATATGTTTTTCTTTTTTCGCGTCCAGCATTCGAAAATAAAACCTCTCATTTCACAAAATAGTTACCATTTTTAATATTAAAATAATAATTGCTTGCGCGTGCTTAAGAAAAATTCCTTTAGAAATTAATATTTAAAATATTTTACAGCGTTTTTCTTTGCTGCTTTAGTTTTGTTTTTTTACTTTGTGATAATTGTTTCACACCATTACAAAGACCCGTCGATTAAATAATAATTATCAGCGCCAGAAATTAATCGTAGCAGAGAACAATGGATTAGGATATATTTGTATAGGTAATTAATTATTAAACTAAGACTACATATACAGAGATGAATGATAAGAGATGGTAGAAAATCTAATTATTTAAATTAACACTACTATTCATTGAAACATGTTGTCTAGTAAGTAAACAGGCATATGAAATGATACAATCCTATTAGTGGTGGACAGTATGTATGAGGTCAACATCGTACATTAAAATTATAACTTTGGATGGTATAATATTTGCGGAAATGCAAAAAGACTTCCTTACATCTAATCTCGAATTAAATATTACGACACTCTGTACATGTAAAATGCAACATACATATTGGTGTATTTAATACGTATCTTATATTTAATAGTACAGGAATAGAATGCGGACACTGAATGATGATGGTGTATTGACTTGATACCGCAACAATGGTGATAATGGGTAATTGCGGCGTTTATTCCCACTAGTTCTGTTGTACAATTCTGTTAACGGAACTACTGGTACTTCTTTCCCATTTGTTCTGTTAATAAATAGACAGTTATCTTCACAGAACTACTGAGAATTTTCTCTCCCACTTTTTCTGTGTATGAGTTTTCAGTCTAAAGTGGAAATGAAAAAAAAAACAAATGGGAAAAATATACAAGTACTTCTATCGACAGAACGGTATAAAAGAGCTAGTGGGAATAATCGGACAGAACTACTGGGAATCGTAAATCCCATTTGTTCTGTTAACAGGACAAATGGGAAGAAAAGTAGCAGTAGTCCTGTCAACGGAAATGTACAACAAAACTAGTGGGAATAAACGAATTGCGGAGTTAAGAAAAATATCGGCTTTGGCAATCTCGGTGTTATATGAAATCCGTGAAATCAAATTCAAAAACATACTTCGAACTAAAATATTTGCGAAAACATATGGGATGAAACTAGCTCTATTATGTTAAACAAGCTGTAAATGCACTAAAGTATAATTTAGCTAAAAGCTATTTTGGTGTACAATAAAATTTGTCCAATTGATTGCATATATTTTGTACAGGGCAATGAAACATGTTTTGCGAATTTAAATTTATTTTTTGTTAAAGTTGTTTGATATCGTATGTGTGATTATGATTATGAAAATATTGCTGGATATTTTTGTTATACAGCTATCGAGCAAAATAAATAGTGAAATCTTTGTCTTCCTGTGCGATTGTCACACGTATTATTTTAATATGAGAGATATAGTTTCATTGTTCTTGAATGCGCGAATTAAAACTTTAAAGTCTGTATCTTTAACAATATAATCACGTCATCGATAATCGAATCTCGAAATAATTAACGTTCTATTGTTTTGAGTGTTATGAGTATTTTTATTTGAAAAGCTGGTGTCAAAAAGTAAAGTCGAACATACAGCATCGAGTGATCCAGTTTCACAACGAAAAAAAAAATCATTTATTTAGGAACATGAAATACACGATGTTATACCTTAAACATACAGGCACGGTGTCTTTCATGCAATTAATATGTCACGAATTGACTCAAGTTCAGACGAATTAACGCAGTGCGTACTAGCACCTTAAATAACACAAGTATTTTTTTTTATGTTGAGATAGTTAATTAAATGCGCAATTATTTTAAGGATGTCTTCCAATTATTCACAATAATAGACAATCCTTCCAAGCGATGTCTTTATATCCAATGGTGATGTAGTGTTAGAAAATGTTAAAATACGTATTCACCATCAGTTAAATAAACCAACCTAGTTCGTGTAAAGCTCTCTACGCTACATCAACAAGTGAAAACTATATCAGACTGATGGTAATCTTTAGTAGAAATAGGCTACAGATTAAGTAAACAATATGCATTCCATTGTTCAAATGACAAGAATCTAGAAACGGTTCTTCTGAAATACGTATTACGAAATTAAGCATTATTAAAATCCACTTCTGTATAAATATAATTTATTTAAACGTGGATTAAATAGGATAGGATACCTCCGTTTTTGTAACTGTAAAATATTAATCAAACTCAATAGCCTTAAGATAAGTTACGTACAATTACATAGATCCGTTATAAAAAATATATATCGAAAGCGAAAGTCGCCAACACATTCGGAACGTCGATTAGAATATTATGGACGTTGTTTACATAACGGCCAAGAAAAGTAGATCATGCCTACTATTTATTTTTGTGTGGAGGCTTACTGAATTACCTATTTACTTTATCCTCTTTTACCAATATTAATTAATAGTTTATACACGCTAAAATTCAAATCTTTTTATTTATACATAGTATGACCGGCATAAAATCTCTATATTAATAAAATAACGCGAAACTACCAGCGAGTTGCAGAAATGTTCTTTAACTGGAGTCTTTACTGTATCATACTATTACTATTTATTAGATGAAAAATTAAAACAGCATGTTTTTAATGGAATTTTGTGCAACTGGGAGTAGGTATATTATTAAAATTGTATCAGATTTAATATATCGTTTTCAATTTGGTCTAAAATTTTACTTGGTACAGACATACTTGGAATTAACTATGTAGCATGAAACATAGACAATTTACTCCTTTATTACGATTAAAAATTGCATTGACATACCCAGTTGTTTCAATTGTTTGTTGTGTTAGCATTTCGACAAGAATAACATAGTATTTTTAATTTAAACAGTTTGTTGCACCGCGTCTGGGTGAAAAGTGGACTCTTTTACTAGGCTAAGGTTAGTAGTTGATTGAGGTAGTCTAGTTTGCTTCAGGTGGCGGTATCGTTCAGTACGTAATAAATATTTATTATAAACGTGTAGGTACTTAACGCCTAATGCGATATTTTAATAATTATGAGAACTTCCTTACAAGAGTTGTTCGAAAAAACGCTATCAAGTGAAATAAATAACCAATTAAATAAAACCATACTTATTATTAACATCAACTGTATCGCGTTTGAGTTTTAGTAAAACTGTACTCAAACACCTTTACATAACTATTGAACTAACGGTTATTTAACAGCGCATCTAATTCTTTTGCGCATCGCTTTTCTGTCACCAGCAGTTTTCGCTTTTGCCTTGTTACGTTCTTTTCAGATTATTTGCTTCTTTGCTTGTACATTAAACACATACTAACTGATTACTGGTGAATGTACCAGCCAATATTGCGTTCTCAAGGTAAGTTTATTTGATTCATAGTTTTTATCATGTAACTAACGTACATATAGGTACCCTATGTATTTGAATGAATGAATAGATCAGTAGATATCTGTGGAAGAGCTTTTATTAACATTAGATTACCAACATTGCATGTTTAAACAAAGAATATATTAACGATTGTAATGAAATTTTATCATTTTCTAGCGCATCACATTCAAAGTGCGTGAGAAAAATCTCACTCATTTACATCACAATATATCATTATTAATAAATAATAGGTATACACATCCGAATTACATAATAGACTTCTAACAAAACTTTTCAATAGTAGCTGTGATTTATACAATAAAGTACCTATTCCTTTCAGGGCTCCGAGCTGGTAAAATTTCTGAACCGGTTTGGTATCTATAACTCCGAACGAATTTATTACGTTTTAGATTACAATTTTTAAGCAGATTTCTTATTTTTGTATACTTACCAGTTTACATTTTCCCTCGCTTCGAAGTACATAAACTTCCACGTCACGCCGTTTTAAAACGTCCATACAATTAACCGGTACATCAATATTAGATAAGTTAACCAGTCAACTGGGTTTATGAAATTAGTTTCGAGTTTGCTACAAATAAACATATCATGCTTTCAGGTACATGACGCCATAATTGCTGCTACTGTTCCCTAGAAGAACGTTGACGTAAAGTGATGATATTTTGAACAAGATTCGTCTCAAGCCTATAAACTATTATGGATACTCCTTACTTATTACTTACTATTCATATAATCTGTCAATCCTCCACTATTATTAATTAAGCTCTTTTTCGCTTGTATACCTTGTAACGAAAAATTTGAAAATCCTAATTATGTATTCAGTAGACGTACTTTGACTTGAATACTCTCTAAAACTGTATCATTCTTGAATTGTCTGTTAGCTATAAGTGTAGTAGTCACAATTTAACATATGTATATGATAAATACTTATACGTACTTTCTTTCTAAACATTTTAGCATAATAAAAGTTTCCTGTTTATATAGAATCGTTTGCGACTCACCATCTGCTAACAAACGAGATAATTTTATTTATTAATGTATCAAAATATGGCTTGTGAAATCTAAACACGTGTTTACTTCCTATAAGTACCTACTGCTCAAAACATTCCTTTTAATTGTACACCATATTGAATTAACTGTTATTAAAATCTACCGGACCACTAGTGTAGTACCTACATACTTGTTTCATTACCTTTTAACTGTTTTAGCCAAAGATTCTTTGATATTTATCACATGCTACTTACGCTGAATAATATTGATTGGAACTACTGTATTTTCAAACATACCAATTAAGTAACATATTGTTAGTGCATAAAATGTAGCAACATACCTAAGCATTGTATCTTACAGCAGCCAAGGGACATTGTAAAATGTACTGCATTGTAAAATATACTGCTGTGCAAAAATCTTGCTCGTTCTGCTCGGGGGCCTCTGTAATGTATACAGACGCCCTTCTAAAGATCTGTACGTGTGTCAAAGTAACTCCGGGGCAACCCAGAACACAAAACGAATTTCCTAAATTGGTCTTATTGAGAAACGAACCCGTGACCTCCTCATTCAGCACCCACAGTGCAAATTGTTGATGAAATATACATCATAAATTCTTAATTGTGCAAGAGGCTGCTTTTTGTATATGAGAGACTCTTAAACAACATTTCGAATGTCTGAAAATATAATAAAAGGCATCTTGTATTTGTAACATACGATCTGAGTAGTTTTTTGCATAAAAGTGTATTTTATAATGTATGATAAAAGGCTGATGTTACTTAGTATCAAAATATTTATGGAGCTTTACATTTCTAAATGGGAATGGCAAATTGTACGCTCCCGCCTTTATTTTCTTTAAACTGCTTGTACTGTTTTCCCGAGATGTAGCGAGTCATATAAATCTTCGACTATGAATTGTTTCGACTTCAGCTATAAATTTCACTATAAATGGTACTTTCCTATATTTAATTGAACTCACAGTATACATATAAATAAAGCTAGGAATTGGGCTTTAAAAATGACGAGACCGTGTGATATTTTACATTGTCATTAAACCAGATGAGTTAATACTCATTGCATAAGATAAAGATATATTATTATCTTATGTAATATAATATGATTATAATAGATGAGCATAATTTGCTTTTAACACATGTACATTATTTCGTGTGGGTAGAATGTATACTCGTAGATAACTATGTATAAACAACGCACTTTTCGAATTAATTTATATTATGACAAAAAAGTTAAAAATAAGTATGTTCAATTTCATACTAACGTTGCCAAATACCTCTTAATTTCATAATTAATTTATTCAAGCGCATCGCAAGTGAATTGTTTCTACACACTCAGACCCGTGTTTTTTTAAAAAGGCAATTATGGCAAGTATCAGAAGGGACATTTTTAATTTTAGCTTTATCGGTTTTTATAAATTTTCATTTAAAAATTATACACAACTGTTCTCTGACGTGTTATCTATTATGCAATACATAACGCATGGGTCTCTAATGCAAATTAGATTCTTTCTGAATCATTAAGAAGTTTGTGATATAGCGGATGTAATAAAAGTACTGAAATTATCATTCGTTTTATTTTTCGTTATTCACTTCCATGCATGATCGTCAGTTGTATGAAAACAACGTGTTATCTTGAAAATTAACAAGTTTCATTCCTGCAATGATTTAACGATCTTTTATAATATTGCAAGTATGTGAAATAAAACAGCAGAAATTATGTGCAATTTTTATTGAATATACAGTCATGAATAAAAACCACGTCAATACACATACATACAAATTGTGATTCACACAGAATTGTAAAGAAATTAATTGTGCCACTCTCAGTGCCTTCATTTTCAATCAAATCACGCTGATTACTAGTTCATAAGATCGAAGTCACTTACATACCATAAGATATTTCATAATCTAAAAAGATTAACATAAAGGCTGTCGTCACTACACTCCGCGTTTTCTTTTAATAAATGCAATTTTTCACATACCAATTTTTTAATAGCTGAAACCTTATACTACTATTAACTTAACACCAAACTACAGACATACTCAAAAGCACGGAGTATGATGCACGAGTTTTTAGCATGTTTTGTTATCTTAACACTCTTGCATGCAAATAATATCTTGTGTGAAACTAAAACAAACACTATTAAGCCTACATTTTTGCGGTTTGTACTTCTAGAATCTGTGCTTTAAATAAATCAATCAACCTAAAGAAAACAAAAAATAAATTATTTTCTTAAATAAAATAATGGCACTAAAGTCAACACATAAGAATACCGATTTAACACGTGTATGTCGTATCGTAAAAGCAGAAATTGTCTATAATATTTGTCTAAATACATTAATGGCAGTTTATAAAAGTAAAATAAACATACAATAAATAATATTAACACATGTCCAAACGATGTCCGCACATTGGAGATTCGTTAAAACTACATAATTGTAACATGTTCCTTTGTTCTAGACAAATGTTACAATAATCATCTGTATTATTTAATGTCGGTGAATTAGCGATATCATATAAATATCAATAAATACAAACTAAATTGCTCTGTCTGTAAATCATATAACAGAGCGTGCAATCCATACAGATGTCCTTAGCAGAAAGGAACGTAAGAACCACTCGACCACGGCGCGGTCACGTTTGTAAACATCATACCCAGTATCAACAGATTACCGTAGATATTTATATTTAATTTCCCACCTTAGGTAACAAAACCACCACATCTAAACGTTGCACATACGTAACAAAACTAGTGGCATGCACTCGTTTAGATACGCACATATTGGTAGCATGTTTAGTACATTTGCGCATATTGGTAACAAATGCCGTCTGCATAACTGTATATGAGACGGCGACATTGGAATAGTAGAGAAGATTACTATGTATATTACCTATCTTGATAAGGTAAAGTTATTTTTCGTCTCGTACGTCCACACGAAATTCACTAAAAGCGCATCATTTTTAAAAATGTCAATAATGCTACAAATGCACTAATTACAATTAGCATCTCTAAACTGCACTTTGTGAACACCAAGTATTTTCAATTACCCTAATGACAGTTTAGCTAATTAAAAAAATATAAGTTTTAATTTTGTATAACAGTCATTTGTAATCTTCTACTTTGGAAAGAAGTACATGCGATTGGTCATTAAAATCTCATATCTTTTACAACAATACTTGTAGACGAACTTTGCTTAATTTGTTAAGTAGTTACTGTTTTGATAGGAATACAAAATAGATAGAGCATTTTCGTTAACAAGTTACATTCGTCCTTTTCTCGACATCGTCGATAGTTTCATTTTTATTTTCTCACACTATTCTATCTTTTCTAGACTCAAAAAATATCGGAAACCTCGCAATATTATCTCTAATTATACACTTGGCCACGAGGCACAGTTGCAATATTTTTGTGATATTATAAAGCTCAACATCAACCATGTTCAATTTAAAAGTAGATTTATATTTTCTTTAGCTTGTAGGTTTCACAATATGAAATTCACATTTGTCCGTACATTTACTGATAATAGAAAAATATTTGGGATTTCACGAAAATATCATGTATTACGAAATACATTTTATAAATAACAAAATAAAACTAAATTAACAACATATCGCACCCGTCATGGAAGAATGGCATAAGTAGAGTTACGTTAAAAATTATTATTGCTCCATTGTATATATACAGAAGAATATAACCCACATCCTCTCCAATTTCTATAATCTTCTTTACAATGTTAATCGATAGAGTTACAAGAATTGGAGAGGATGTGGGTTATATTTTTTTGTATCTGATTTTGACGTAACTCCACTTATGCCATTCTCCCATGAAGGGTGCTATATATTAGGTGTCGATTTTGATTTGTTTTACAAATTTCCCAAAAGTGGCACTGCTAAATGTTAGTAAAGAAGTAGTTTTGTTAGTGACGGTAGTTATAGGTCTTATTATGGAAAATTTATCTTGTCGTCTATCGTTGGACGCAGTATTGCATTATGCAAAACCCCACCCTGTAGAAAGATAAAGAATAATCATGAAACTCAATTCGAAACGAATGAATCACACTCAATTGATGAGAAAATTTGCATTGTAATTGAGTAATGTAATCCACAATATCTACTAAAATCATTCCATACCCTTTGCATTGCTGTTCTAGCTTCAAATTATCACTTATTTACTAATAATCATTATATAATAAAAGTTAAATATCAACACACAAGATGAGATCTGACAAATGTGTTGGTTTATTACTTTAATTTTAATGTTTTTTAAGACTAACAGGTATGTTATTTGGACTTATGTCATTGCTCTCTTCAAGTGGGGAGAAAACTAATTTCTTATTTTTTGATGGTTATCCGCCCCCAGCGAATAATATATATTTCTGCTCACGGTACCTTCAAAGAAAATACTAAAAGACGGTAAATTATCTACAGCTGCACAATGTACTTACCTCGACGAGCGCTAGTTGAGTTCTTGAGCAGTTATCGCACTTTCCTTGCGGAGTCGGTGCGTACCGCCACCGGGGGTGTAACTTCGGATACAGCCTGCGCCACCGCCGCGTCAATCACAATAGGTTAGGCAAAGCACACAGTTAAAGCAAATTAAGCCGTGGTATTTTCTATTGTCTGGAAAAATTAATTGTAAGGTACTTTTAGTAATATAAAATCTCCAATAGACAGGAGATAGAACTTTGTAGACGAGGCTACATAGACAAGAGCCTGGCTCTTAAATAGGATGAGACCTTTGATATTTACAATTTTTTTTAATGAATGAGGCGTCTCATCGGTAGGCCCTTGGGTTTATAAACAAACAAGGGCAAAGTTCTCAATGTTGTTATTAGAGCTTGGATCTTCTTATAAAAATTCTTATAAAATTATAACCATTTTTTATGTTAATGTTACAAATAAAGAAAACTTCTTAATTCTTCGCTAATACCACAAGCTTCGGAAAACAGATACTTACATGCAAACACAGACACAAATATTGATATAAAATGTATTACCGGCATTTCAGAAATTTAATTTTATGTACATTTACAAATGTACGAGAGTGGATTGAAAAGTTCGCGGCTTCACATGGAAGTACTTATTATATTTTTCATACTACTCACATCTAATTCATATATTCATTGGTTATCGCTGTGCAAAATTTTATTGGTGTAGTATTTGTGGTTTTTAAATTAGAGCTAGTTTAGTGAGATCAAGTGCAGCGATTTTCAAAAATAGAGAAAATTTAACGACGTGCTGTCATCATTTATACTTGTTTAAAAATTTATATATTTACCGATAAAGACACACAGTGACATGGAGACAACATTATGGGAATCTGCTCCATCGTATAGGACTATAAAAAAATTAGTAACAGAATTCATACGTGTATGTGTAAATTTCGAAGAAGACCATAGGACTAGCCGGCCCACGGCGTCTACGACTGAGGAAAATATCAGAAGAAAAGTGTGTGATCTCGTTATGGAAGTCCAAAGATTGACTATCAAGGAGATTGCACTCTGTGAGCATGTCGTATGAACACACATAAAACGTAATTGTCATCGGACTTGGATTTTACAAAGTTTCCGCGATTCCGCTGGTTTGATTCAGATGATGAAGATGAAAGATTCCGCTTTCAGGATCAAAAGCATATTCGGCTCATTTCTCGAGACTAGAGATGTTTGAGGCTGACGCGCAAAATTTTGTGATTTGTGACTATGGATGAAACTCGGGTTCAGCACGATACACCAGAGCCCAAACAATAATCGAAGCAGTGGAAAACGTGATTAATCGACCCAAAGAAAGCCAAAGCAGTTTTGTCAGCTGGCAGGGTGATAGAGTCAGTTTTTTGGTATATTAAGGGTGTCAACATGGTAGACTACCTCGTTAAAGGCGAAATCAATAAGTATTGCATCCTTTTGCGTCGTTTGCGCGAAGAAATTAAAGAAAAACGGTTAGGATTACTCAGGACAATAGTTTTGTTTCATCAGGATAATGCTCGCGGTCACACTTCTGTCGAACTCATGGTTAGAATTCATTGTTCTGGATTTTAATTACTGCCCCATCCGGCTTATTCTCCTGGTTTAGTAACTTGGGACTTTCACCTGTTCCCCAACCTAAAAGAACACCTCGCTCGTCAAAAATTTTCATCAATTGAAGAAATCGAATCAGCGTAAAATAGATATTTCGAAGACCTTGAAGAATCTTTTTTAAACTGGTGTAGACGCTTTGGAAAGCAAGTGGAAGGAATGCATCGAACTAGATGAAAATCACGTAATAAAATAAACATATTTTTGCAAGTATTTAACTTTGTTTTCACATCACTTGCATACAAAATTGAAAATACCTACGCCATAATAGCCTACTAAATCTCACTAATGACACCAGGCGCTCACTACGAGGAAAAAGGAACGGTAATGAAAAAAATGATAATTTATTGTCAGTATTCCTACTTCTACACCCATCCAACGAACAATAATGAGGCGATTTCGACATTGCAACCATTTTTTTACGAAACGTGCCGTACGAACATTCAGATGTGCGAGAGACGGACCCCTGGTTAGGCCGCGAACTATTCAATCCACTCTCGTATGTTGTAACATATAATTTCTGTAACGAAACACTATTGTAGCTTGTTTATGTGTCAAGTTATTAACTGAGCATTTGTACTAACGAGTAAATGTATCGTATTGTAAGCAATAATGATTTACAGTTTGTGTGTGGTATTCTATTAATGCCCCAGGACTGGCTACAATTTAATGTTCTTATAAGTGTTTAATAATTGCCCCTAGCGCAATTCACAGTGGATTCTGGCATTCGCAACTAGAAGACACCACTGCAGTCTGACTTATTTTTAGGTAATTTCCTTATAAGCTTTAATCCGATTAAAATTTTTACCGTCATTGATATCAATTCTCCTCAATATTTGTAAATATAGTACACAAAACATAATTTTAATATTTATACCACTTTTGGAACGATATGGAAATTAATTAGGTCATAGGTCCGTAGTGTCACGCAATCAGTGTTCCAAACGACATTCAATTGTATAAATAAATAACTGTTAAGATATCGGCTTCGACGAATTTGTTTCAGAATATATTTAAAAACTGAATCTTATCTTTTTTAAACAAACAGCGTTATCTACGGATTCAGATTATTTTTTATCTTATGTTTATTTGCACTGGCACTATAATGAATTGAGAAGAGTGAAATATTGAAGCATAATTAACTTGCATCCACGCGAGACGGAATAATGCCATTAATTATGCTGTAGATGGACGGTAATAAACAGGTAAAACAATGATGACCTTGAGTTCCAGTTTAAATATTTTGCTTTTGGCTCTAACAAAGTAAATTTAAAACCATATTTTTTTTTTAAATTTATCCTTATTATGTTTATTACCTAAATAAAACATTAATTTTATTATTGCGTTTAGGACACCTTGGCAAATTGATACAACACTCGTATCACAATGTATGAAAATTGGACCGAATTCCTTCGTATTATTTCATTACAGTTTGCATTACCGGGCACATAATCTCTTTGTAGTTATGCAATACTCAAGTGTAAGCAATCTCAGCTGTTACATTTTACAACACTCGCAAACGAGCATATTCGTGCCACGCGGTTTCTACGTGTATATTTTCAACAAATCATGTGTAACGACTACGTATGTAACTAGCATGCTTAACTACAAACTTACTTATGTTGTTCTAAAAAAAATTTGACAATATATTTACCCATGCAATTCGCAAGTTCGATATCTTTAGATGATGTAAAATATCTTCGCCGTGTCATCCATTGAACTGTACGGGAAGCGATATTGTGAAAGTTTAAGATAAAATATTATATTATTTTAATGCGCTGTGACAATTAGAGGCCGCTTTTAAGTAGATTGTTTAAACTATAGTCCGTGAAGATAGTCTAGTGATCCTATTAGGAGAATTCACACGTGTTCGAAACGTTACGTGAACGTTCTCCGACATACAGACTTCATCATGACGTTTTCTTTCCCTTCGCCGCTAAAAGCGTGTTAAGTATGTTTCGATAACACTCTCGGAGGGAATAAGCAATAGATGAGTCCCAACATGGCGATCAATTTTTTTTTAATATCCTAAAATGCTCTTTTGTGTTATTTATGGTATAACCCTATTATGTCATGTCCATAGTATTCGGCCAGCTACTAAGAAAACGAAATAGGTACAATCTGTTATTGTTATAAAAGCATACTAAATCAGACTGCAGTGTAACGGCTTGTGTCACTTATTTTATTCCTCCTTATGCACGGCTACTGCTCTCAAATATTGTATTTAACAAAATTATTTGACATTAAAATTAAAATATAATTAATGAAGTATGTAATTTTCATAATGTGTATTAAAACTTCAATAACTATATTCATTGGTACACATTTAGTACCTAAGTTATTATTTATATGGTATTAAAATATTTTACATATTTTATTGGTAGTGTGAATTTGTTAATAAAGTGGTAAAAAGTAGAATGCGACTGAAACTACACGTAAGCCGTAAGTGAAAATACATTTTAGTATCGTTAAACGTTAATAAGATCAGGCTGCACAAAAAAATTTGCTGCCCCTATCTTGAACAAAAAAAATTATATCGATACATAAGGCGCATTACCTTTTACTCCTATTCACAAATGCCCAGATTGAATTTGTTTCATAATAGCCTTTAAATTATTGCCGTAAGCATACCACAATTATTTGTCCTTCCCTGCTATTTGAATTCAGCGGTCAACAAACACGTTTTTATTTACCCAAAGCATACATTGAAGTGATCCAATTTCCTCAAGATAACTGATAATGGGATAAATGTAAAAATACCTTGGTAACGTCAACTCCAGTGACCCCCTTGACAAGGGTCGGAATGCACTGCACGATGTTAAGCACCTCTCCAGTGAGTTTGGCAGCGCCCACTTCGCTACCGCCGCAAGACACCATTGTCACTTTATTGACTTGTGACAATGGCGCGGCTACCTCTGCTGCCACCTGTACATAACAAAGATCCGTCACTGACAGCTTCAAATAAAGAGCTAATTCTATAATTTGTTGACGAATTTAGGATTACTGTCCTTCTATAGAATACTCCAAATTACGATTATAAGGTTTACACAATCAGGAACTGAAATAATCTTGATAGTTTTTTTTTATGTTAATTTAAATTTTATAAATGTATATCAAACCTTAGGCAAAGTATCGAGCATCATATCGACCATGGCAGCCGGTCCATACTCCTTCCAGGCGTCTGCCTTCTGGGCCATCTGCTCTGCGTCAGCTGCTGCCTTAGCCTTGATTGCGTACGCCTCCGCCTGAGAAATGTGCAATATAGTATACGACTGGCCGTAACGTTAAAAAGCGCTGAATATTATATTTTAGAAGGCGCCTAGCCCGTAGATGTAACATTGTGTCCAGAGCCAGCAGCGAGTGCCAATGCAGATATAAAGTCATTAAATACAAATTGTATAGTTCAATCTGATCAGATATTTCTTATAACGAAGGTTGCCGGGCTTTGGCCGTTAAAAATAATTCATTTTTTAAAAACATGCGTTACAATTAACCTGTCATCAGGTTGCTTGACATTAAACTCATTTATTTTTAGATAAATAAACAGACTATTCATACGATTGTCTATGTCATTAATTCATTATAAAATTTTCATACAACAAGTACGTTACCTCTCCGCGTACTCTGATCGCCTCAGCCTCGGCCTCTGCTTCCATGACGGTCTTCATTCTGTGTGCTTCAGCCAGCTTCTCCAGCTTGTATTTTTGTGCTTCTGCAGGCCTGTTCATTAAATTACGCGATTGAAAGTACAAAAAATACGTATCACTTAGTCTCAGGGTCATATTCCAAAACTCTACTCAATGCTCAAGTCAGGACTTGAGCAGACTTGAGTATGTTTTCAAGCACTGGAAATACGGCCCTAATGGCAAGGACTTGAGTATGATTTTCAGTGCTCACTGCAATACTCAAGTCCTGACTTGAGTATTGAGTACAGTTCTGGAATACGACCCTTAGTAAAGTTCCTGATATTAATTTACGATACTAAGGATGTACAAAAAGAAGATACAGATAGATGAAGATACAGGAGAATGCAGTAGACATAAGTTCTTTAACGTGTGATGCGGTAGGCATAAGTTCTCCTGTGCCAGAGAATGTGTTGACTCTGCTCACCTTTAATTGCAATACATCGCAACTATCTTCTTGGGGTAGCAGTAAAGAAATACCTTATGACTGCTTGAATATTTAGTAAATGGAGTTTGTTAGCAGTATAGGAGTGCAATTAGATAGGAGACGTCTTGGCTACCTTCAAGAGATTAGAATATACGGTACAACTGTACCGTATATTCTAACCGTATACCGTACCGTATGTATACCGTACCGCATGTATACCGTACCTTCTAACAGTGGCGTCTAACTCCTTCTCTCTCCGTTGCACCTCCCACTTCTGCACCTCAATTTCCTGCGTACGCTCCACCACGGCGATTTGCATCTGCTCTTCCTTGATGCGCTGTTTCGTCTTGGCTGCTTGCAACTCGTATGCCATCTCTGCTTCGGCCTGACAACCAATTTCGATACTTACAAAATACGTCTTCGCCACTTTAGCCATACGCGAATATCCAAGTAAACGATGAAAAATATCAAATTCATCTATACACGTGATAATAATTAGTTAAGTAATACAAATAACAATTTTTATGGTACTGCAAGGTTTAATGGAAACATAAATTTACTAATCAATTATTCAACTAGACCTAGAAGAAATCCAGTCACACCTTTTTCGTCTGTACTTCAACATCATAAGCAGCCTTTTTTAGTTCGAAGTGTCGTTGCGCCTTGGCGATTTCGGTGTCGTTGAGGTACCTGGAGGCCATCCTCTGCTCCTCGGCCATGGCTTCCTTGATTCTGGCCTCGGCTTGGGCTTCAGCCTCGCCGATGCGTGCATCGCGTTTTACTTCAGCCGTGCGAGCCATACCAAGCGCTTTTAGATAACCCTGTTTTATTAAACATCAGTTAAAGTATCGCAATACCCATTTGCTTAAAGTACAATGATAACAAAAAACATCCATTGAATTCGCCCTAGTTCAGCGATGTCTAAGAAGTATTTCAATGCGATTTATCCTATGGTGATTTTGGCGCTCTGAATCTCAGCTTGTTTTTATTTATTGCTTCAATCAACGCATGAACATGCCGATTCTCTTTTCGATATCTTTGTTAACATCAGAGATATTAATGGTTTAAGTCACACACCTAATTCTTAAGCTCCCCATCACTTTAAACAAATGATCATTGGAACGCTATTATTGGTATATGTCGTAATTGGATACGGCCGTTTTATCCTAACTTATTATTTATGAATGTCGGTAATTACATTTATATTTTTTTAACAGTTCTATTTATTCTATTTCCTTAATGGCGGCCACTAGGTTTGGGCCAGTGTCAGTTTCGATTAACGTTGTCAGTTGATATTCATCAATAACGCCAACGTTTCGGTAGGAGAAAGGTATTTATTTTTAGATGAATCTCTTCGACGGAATGCTGTTGTGGAGACCATACCTGGGGTAAAAAAAACAATCATGGACAAACAACCAGCTAAAGAATTATATTATTAGAGCGTATATAATCACGCAAAATGCTAACAAAGGGAGAATACAAAAAAAGAGGGATTTGAGGTTAATAGGACAAGGAATGAAAGATGGAAGGAGGTCGTACAAGGAGGAAGTCAATTTAAGACATTCAAGGAAAATGTGATCAAGGTTACACTCGTCCAAACCACATTCACGTAAAGAGTTGAATCTGACACGGATTTTATTAAGGAACACAGGGGAACAAGAGTGGCCCAGTCTAGTCTACTAGCTTAGCGAAACTTAAAAAAAACCATGGTTTCGCTGGGATGTTATTTTGAACGTCGGCATAGTACGTGTCTGTCTCTTGGCTAGTTCGAACCCAGTGCGCTTGCCATTCCATATCTAGACAATCCTTAGCTAACGAAGTCAGTTCGTGAGCGTAACACAGGTGTTCGCTATAATATATAGGTATAATGAGAGAGCCTGAGAGGGTCGCCTCCTTGGCGTTATTGGTCCACTGTCTCGTTCCCTCGGATACCATATTTGACTAGGTATCCAAGCCAACGAAACCTCGACCTCTGTAGGAGCAAGACAGTGCAGGGTCTGTATAATTTTCAGGATGACGGGAAATTTAATTATGTTACGAAGTTGGTTAGATAAAATAGCTTGACGTCATGCTTCGAGAAGGATTTAAAAATTGGGGTAACTAAAACCTGTTTCCATTATGTTGGAATAATAACCTTCTGGTATCAATTTGTTATAAACAATAGTTAGGGGAGTAGGTAATTGTTGAGCACATATGGATATCAAAATTGGGTGGACATTATCAACTCCGGCCTTTGTGATCGTTAACAAAATTTGCAATAGTGAGGCAGTCACTAGAAGAGTTATGTCATATTTCATAGGTTTAGGGAATTTGATTTGTCGGGAATTTAGATTGAACAAAGGTCCAAAATAACTTAGGTGACTTGAGTATTAATATCATTTTTGTAGCATTTAGATTCCATCGCTTTCTCTTCTGCACGCAGACGAATAGAAATTTGGTAATTCAAATGGTTGCCATATCTTTTCCACCTAGAATGAGCTTTTCTTTTCCTATTTCCTAATATTGTAAGGGAAAGTGTACACCAAGGCGGCTTTCTTGATTTTTAAGTGACTTTAGGTTTAGGGACATGTTTATGCAGCAAATCATCAAAAATCGAATAAAAATAACAAACTGATTGCTCGGTGTACATCACTTCGTCAAACATTCCAGTCAATATTAGCCAGCTCTTTATTTATATCGTCAAAATTAGCCGCGTGATAAATGTTGATACTAATCATTAATATTCAAACAAGATTATCGATCCGTCAAATTCATAAAATGTCGCAACGCCGAAGCGTTTTTATCACTGTTAGATGTTAGTAATAATATCAAAATACATTATGATCAGTTACTGGCCTCCTAGTGGAGTAAGATATCGTTAAAATCTCCTAAAATGAAAAAAGTATCATATGGGTAAGATATAATTAAGTCAAAAGCAGAAGCAAAAAATTATTGCAAAGAAATATAAAGATCATTATTATGAGGCAAATAAGTACAGGTTAGATGTAACAAAGAAATTGAAGATGAGGAGGGCGGATACGGGTGGCGGGACGGCAGAGCAAGCTCGATTGTCAGCCAAAAGCTGACACGCCCTGTCACGACAGGGCATGTCAGCTTTTGGCTGAACAAACCATGATGATGACCATTAAAGAACTCTGAGTCATAGAAATTCTCGGCTAACGAGGTTTCAGTAATATAATATAATAATATAATATAATATCACAATTGCACTTTAAAACGTTGGAAAGGAAAGAATGTGATTTTGTTCGCAGCCCCCTTGCGTTCTGATATTATTTTAAATTAGTATTATTATAATTAACCGTTAAAATAGAATAGGAATGAAACAAATATTTATATATATATATATATATATATATACAGCGTGTCCCAAAATTCAACGATAAGCGGGCGCTGGAGGGTGGTCCACCCGGACCTGCGCATAACTACTTGAGGAAAAATAAGAAAAAAAATTTATATCATTTTTTTTTAAATTTACGATAAAAAAATTGTTATTCTTCGAAAATTTACTCCCTTAATGATATTTTAAATCACCACGACCACAATTTTTCAGATATTTCTGATGTTTTTATTTTAACGGCCATCTAAGTAGTACTGCTGTCTACCACAACTCTTAAAATTCCCAGAATGCCTGCAATTGTACAAAAAAATCCATCAAAATATTTTTTTTCCTTGAAATTTTGAAATATTTTTACCTGCAGTCGACTTTCACTCATCGTTTTGTAAAAAAAAAGTACGGCCACCACTGCGGCAAGTATTTTTAAAAATTGACGCAACTAACCAAGATTCCAAAATGGTATAATACTTTAAGAGAACTAGGCGCAAAAAAATATTGGTACCATTTCTAAGAAAGACTAAATTTCTTGATTATTGTTCTTATTCATAATAATCACTTTCACTGTGTGCCGAAAAAAGATTATTTGATGCAATTTCTTGGAATTTCAATGGCACATGTGCGTAGTCGATACAATTTAGATATTAGAGAGAGAAAGATAGCGAGAGATATACGTTAGAAAGACATAGATAGATGCCCTTTGTTGAATAACAATAAAGCAGGTACTTAAAAAAAATGTTGCAAAAAATATTCGTACCATTTTTAAGAAAGACTAAAATTCTAAATTATTGTTATTATTTATAGTAATCACTTTTACTATTTGCCGAAAATAGGTTTTTGTTGCTGAAAAATGTTGAATAAATCAAAACAAATGGTATTTCTTCATTTAATTTATTTATTGCAAAATTAACATTATAGTAAATGTTCAAATTGTTTGCCACCAGCATTAATACATGCACGACATCGCCTTAAAAATGATCGTTTTATCTGTCTTGCATATCTTCTACCGTTGATATGAGCCGCAGCTTGATTGACTTTTTGCCGAAGCTCGTCCAATGTTGTGATGGGTTTTGCGTAAATCCTGTCTTTGAGACAACCCCAATAGAAGAAATCCAGGGGGTTTAGGTCGGGTGAACGGGGTGGCCATAAGATAGGACCAAGTCGCCCAATCCAACGCCCAGGATATTCTTGGTTTAAGTATTCTCGCACAGGACGGGCGTAGTGAGCTGGGCAACCATCATTTTGAAACCACATGTTTTGTACATCACTTAAGGGGATGTCTTCTAATAATTCTTGCAAATCATTTTGTAAAAAGTTCAAATAACTATCACCATCTAAGTGTCCTTGTAACTCAAAGGGCCCAATCACTTTTCCATTTAATATGCCTGTCCATAGGTTAACCTTGAATTGATATTGGGATTTGTCTTGTCTCATCAGGTGCGGATTTTCATTGCTCCAACTATGTAAATTGTGAAGATTTAAACAGCCATCTTTCTTGCAGGTTGTTTCGTCCGACCATAGCACTTTGTCTAGGAACTGGGGATCTTCCCGGTGTTTTTGCAGCATCACACGGCAAAATGCGATCCGTAGTGGATAGTCCCGAGGCAATAACGTCTGCACTCGCCTATAGTGATATGGGTGGAGCTTGTGACGTTTCAGAATTCGATGTGCCGTACTTTTTGGGATTCCCGTAGCTGCTTCTATGGCACGTACTGAGGTAGTTGCATCAATGTTTATTTCATTGAGAACTTCTTCATCGCATTCCGATTTCGGTCTTCCAGCGTTTCTTCTGGCAGATGGAAAATGACCCTCCGAAAACGCTCGATGCACATTCAAAAATACTCGATAATCCGGGTATCTTTCAGTGTTTGGGTACCTTTCTCGATACAATCTGCTGGCAGCGTTAGCATTGCACCGACATTCTCCATAAATGAGGTGCATGTTAGCGTATTCCACCGGTGTGTATGGTAGCGGCATGATAAACGATAATCAGTTCAAAATACGCCAAAACTCCAATTCACAGTCCAAAGTGATGCCAGGTAAATTTAGTTTGCAGATCACTTAAATCCAGTCCAATAAGCCAAGCCAAAAGTCGTTAGTACGAGAGCTACGTCAATTGATTGCGGAAAGATGCGCAGTAAACAAAGGAGCAGAGCGTACTGACTTGCTGAGCACCGGAACTTCTCTACCTGCGTTATTGCTATTCAACAATGGACATCTATCTATCTCTTTCTAACGTATATCTCTCGGTATTTTTCTCTCTCTCTAATTTCTAAATTGTATCGACTACGCACACGTGCCATTGAAATTCCAAGAAATTGCAACACATAACCTTTTTTCGGCACATAGTAAAAGTGATTATTATGAACAAGAACAATAATCAAGAATTTTAATCTTTCTTAGAAATGGTACCAATATTTTTGGCGCCTAGTTTTATTAAAGTATTATACCATTTTGGAATCTTGGTTAGTTGCGTCAATTTAAAAAAAA